CCTCTATTGGTATGGTAAAGATACAAAGGCTCAACCAAGTAGTCGTGATCTCTACTGGTATGGCAATGATGCGAAGCCTCAACAAAACACTCGCGACCTCTACTGGTATGGTAAGGATGCAAAGCCTCAACCAAACACTCGTGATCTCTATTGGTATGGTAAGGATGTAAAGCCTCAACCAAACATTCGCGACCTCTATTGGTATAGTAAGGATGAAAAGATTAAAATGGTAACTGAAACAACACACAACTCTGAAGAGAATAACTCGATGGATGAGCAACATAATGCTGATCATTACTCTTCGGAGCACATGAACAACAACAACCCTACAGAAATGATTTTCTTCACCATGGAAGACTTGAAACTAGGCAAAAAACTCCCATTCTACTTCCCCACGAAAGACAGCTTTCCACACTATTTTCCAAAAGAAATAGCAGATTCAATCCCCTTCTCACTCAAACAACTCCCTCAAATCCTCAGCTTGTTTTCCCTCCCCTCAGGGTCCCCCCAAGCCCAAGCTGTGGAAGACACACTGTGGCTTTGTGAGCAGCACCCCATGAAAGGAGAGATCAAATTATGCCGCACCTCCTCAAAATCCATGTTGGATTCAGCACGCTCCATCTTGGGCTTGCCCAAAAACTCCCCTATGAAAAATCTCACCACTTCCCATCTCTCAAATCCCCACACCATATTCCAAAACTACACTCTCTCCCAAATGCCAAAGGAAATCGCTGTGCCTAAGTTCTTCGCCTGCCACTCACTGCCCTATCCTTATGCAGTTTACTTATGCCATTCCCCCGGGGGAGACGCCAAGGTGATGCAGCTTCCGTTGGAAGGCGACAATGGCGACCGTGTCGAGGCTATCGCCGTTTGCCACATGGATACGTCTGATTGGAGATCTAATCATCCCTCGTTCCGTGTGCTCAAAACCAAACCAGGGACCCCCGTCTGCCATGTTTTTGCTGAAACTGATTTTCTGTGGATGTCTCCTTGAGTTTTATCACGTTACCATGTGTCTTTGTGGAAATAAATAATATGAGCACAGCTCAAGCAGTCATGTATCTTTAATCTTATCAAGTTATCATCGTAATATTAAAAAAAAAGTATGTTGTGTATTTGTTGGAATTTGTTTTAAAATTTAAGGAGTTTTTACTCGTTGGTAATTGCGACAAATATGGAAAAATAAAAATATGTTATCATATATAAATAATGTGAAAATTATATAAATAGCATATAATAAAATAAATAGGTACGTATTTTAAAAAGAGTAGATTGTTTAAAAACTTTAAAAATAACCCATTTAAATTCATGTTAAACATATTGTGAAAAGCTAAAATTATATGCCATATTAAAAAAAATATATACAAGAAAGAAAGGTTGTGACATTTTTTTAAATACATATTAAATTGTCAGTGAAATCAATTTTTTGTCATGTAAGCTGCTAGAATGATGTCTCGTAGGCCCACTAGAGCATGATTAAATTAGTTAAAAGATATATATATATATATATATATATATATATATATATATATATTTTGAGCTAAAAATGTTAGAGTTTCAAGCCGCATAGTGGAGTTATTAAACCTAGAATTATTAAATATGGTGAATTAATTAGTCTGAAGTTGTTTAATCTGTGTTTAAGTTGTAGAGTTTCTTAGTCTAGAATTCTAAGATTATGTTGTGTTAAGTTGTAGAGGTATTAAGTCTGGAGTTATGTAAATTAGATTTATGTTGTTATTATTATTATTATTATTTTTGTTAAAATTACCATTAGAGTTAGATTATAATAAATTTTCATTTAAAATTGGTTTATGTCAATTCTAAAATTTAAATATTAAGGTATATTATTTTATTATAATTTTTTAAAATGATTCTATTTTAATATTTGTTTGCTTGAAATTAATTATCTATATCTTTATAAATTCAAAATAAACTATTATTATTATTTTAAGACATTCGTTTAAAATTTTATATTTTTACAGACTATAATTATTTAAACATGCATAAGAGAACAAGAATTAAGATTATTTAAGTATTTATTTCATCAAATGTTTAAATTTAATTATTTATGTTTGACATTTTAAAATTTCTTTGACATAGCATATAAATATCTTAAAAAAAAATTACTTATACATAAAATTAAATTATTATTTATATAATCTATGATAATTGAAAATTATCTATATATATATGAATTAAAAAAAATATATTTGGATTACAATTTAGAAAACTTCAATAAGTATAATTGTGAATATGGAGGTAAGTGAAACCGAAACAATTAAATTGTAAAAAAAATTGAATAATTAGAAATTAGAAGAAGAGAAATGAAATAAAAGAAGGATGGTAAAAAATATATATATATAACAAAGAGAAATGTCACCAAAAAAATTTTTAAAAAGAAAAGAAAAAAATGGAAAAATATGATGGGACCTACCAAATTGGAGATGATGTGGCCACATTATGAGAAGATAGATAAGGGAAAAAGAATATATGATTTGATACGGGGTGGACTTGAAAAAAGAGAAAATAAATAGAATAAAATAAAGTAAGAAGCAGGAAGATTGAACGAGATAGACAGGAGAAGTTAAATAGTGGATTTATTGTTGGAATTTTAAAATTTGATATTTTCTTTTTAAAAACTGACCTGCGAAATTACATTCTTAAACACCTTTCCTTCATCACCATTTTTCAACTTGTCACGATAGTTAGGTCTCGAGTCAGAACCCTCATTCAAGATTTTCTTTCTAGTTAATTCTAATATATATTTTTTTAATAGAATTTTTTTTTAATCTCAGATTTCACTGAAAGAGGTTAAGATTATGGCTTTTCAAATAAAAAAAATTACAATTTTTTTGTTTTGAATTGACAAATTCGTAAAATTGTGCCTAGCCTATCCTCCATAATAATCGAGCTTCCAATTCCTTCAATTTCAACTATAAGACCGAAAGTGAAAAATAAGAACGAGTAATATCGAGATCGATATAGCGACAGTTATGCTATGATAGAGTCGAATGAGTGATATCGATGATATAGCAATGACAAAGGGATTTAGGATTTCACATCCCCAACCAATTCCACGGCCTAAATTTTAGCAATTGAATTCAAGTGATTGTTGCTTGAAGTCTCCGGCCTAATTAATCAACAACACCATATTTGAATTTTTCGAATTTGTCCCTCTTTTTTTTTTCTTTTTTGTTAATTCTTGTATCAACTACGAGCTCATATTTAAAAAAATAGTCACACTTAATTTTATAGATCCCTGGCTGGTGGTGATCGGTCGTGCAAATCATCGACAGTGGCCTTCGACTGCAGAGATGAAGAATGGAACTAAAATAGGGGAGATGAAGAAGAAATATATTTTGGTCACAAAATGTAGCTCATTCAATGGATTATCCTTTTTCTTTYTCAGGAATTCTTTTTTTCTTCCTATCAAAACCAGCATAGTTTGGTGGTAATTGACATATACCTCCAAGTGTGAGTTCGAATCATCTCTCCAATATGTTGTATTAAAAAAAAAAACCTCATTTTTTTTCTTCTTTAATGCCATATTTCTCACTTTTAACATATTCCTCTCTCTCCATGTTAACTTCCTCTGCAATTTCTTCTTTTTTCAAGGAAAAACGGTTAATGAACTTTCAATATATTTATATATTTATGTTTCTAGGGAACTTTTTCAATGTAAATAGGAAGCTTTATTTTTAAAATCTTTATAAATATGCATCTTCTTTTAAATAATTAAAAATCTGTTTAAAACTTTAAAATTGTTCATAATGGTAACCTATATAAATTTATTTTATGTTATAATTATTGATTAACATCAAATTATGATTGTTGTAAAAAAAAACATCAAATAATGATTAACTTTATATTGATTAAATATAATTCATAAGAATCACTGATTAAGATATATATTGATTAGTTGTAATTACTCGTCTACGTATTTTGATTATTGCTATATTTATAATTTTTAGTTGTTATTTTTTAATAATTTATCTATATACTATTATATAAAATGTACAATAGGAGAAAATGTGAGGACTGAAATTAGCCCCTTTTTTATTTTTTAAAAAGGGTACCAATAAAACTATTTCCAAAATTCATGAATTAAATCATAATTTTAAGAAACTCAAGGATCAAATATACACTTCTCTCGTTCGATAAAATCAAGAAGCCATGCTTTGAAAGCCCATCCAACCACACAGGCCCGTGCACTGGACCAATTTTCAAGCACACCGGCTACAAAGTCGAGTGCATCTAGATATCCTATATAGAAGATAATAACAAGTAGGGTGCTGACATTCTGTACCCAAACTGCGATATGTCTTACGGGATTACTCAGAGCGCTGCCACGACCCCATTCGAGGGAAAAAGAGGATGTCAGTGGTCTCCATAGACGCACGGTGCGACATATCACCCCTGTGTGCCTCACACATGAAAACTTTTTTCTCTCTTCATATATATAAGAAGAAAGAGCAACCCAAATAGAAGTAAGTTGTTTTTCCCCTTACACAACACTTTGTGATCAGTAACCTGCACATACTCTCCAACTGACTCTCGCTCTCGAAATTCTTGCTCTCTTACTCTATTTGTTCAATACCCATTTGCTCTCTTCCTCGAAATTAACTTAAACATCATCGTTGTAACACCACATAAGTGCTTGATTTCTTTATATAGGTAACCAAGACCTTGGAGCCAAAGCATTTGTTCGTGGCACCTACGTGACATCGACGCAAACACTTATCCAGAAATCGACATCAACAGCTTAAAATGCAACCTTCTTTTTTAAAATGAATGCAAATAAATACAACACACTATTTATCCTTCTTTTTTTTTTTTTTTCCTTTTTCACAACGTATCTATCTTATACAAAACAGTCAATCCCACCATAGCCATGTGAATCACTAATTACCTTCTTTAATGCTCACTCTTTCACATACGTGGTAACATACAAAGTAGAGCCACGACTAATGAACTAAAACAAAACTAGTGACACCCAAGAAAAATCTAAGAACAAAGAGGTTAAATTATGTTATTACTAGCGGAATCCAAAGGAAAAGTCACAATCTTCATGGCTGGGGCCTGTGGAAAACCATTCTCAAGTATCCATGGGAATCCATATAAGATCGTTGGGAGGGAAGACATGGCAGACCGGGGTCATCCCCGGTTTGCTTTTGAGCACTTTAAAAGACACATGCTCAGGGCTCCACTCGGACGTATCCACGTGGCAAACGGCTGCAGCCATAACCACATTTCCATTCTCACCCTCCAATGGAATTTGCAGCACCTTATTGTCTCCCTCGAGGTAATGGCAATAGTGGACCGCATAGGGATAGGGAATGGCATGGCAGGCCAAGAACTTTGGCGCTGCGATTTCATTAGGCATTTGGAGGAGAGTGTAGTTCTGGAGATAAGGGGGACGTGATCTTGTGGAATGGGCCGATGTTGCCAGATATTTGACAGATGACTTGGAGCCCAAGCCAAAGGCTGAGCGGGCGGAATCCGCCATGGATTCCATGGAGGTACCGCAGAACTTGGTCTCTCCTTTGTTGGGTTCGATATCGCATCGATGGAGCGCGCTTTCCACGGCTTGGGCTTGGGGCGAGCCCAGGGAGAAGGAGAAGAAGTTGAGGATTTGAGGGAGTTGTTCGAGCGAGAAAGGGATTGAATCAGCCATTTCTTTGGGCCACATAGGAGGGGTGGTTGAAGGGTCTTTTGGGGGTAAGTTTAAAGGCAGTTTCTTGCCAAGTTTCAGGTCATCTGTGGTGAAGAAAATCATGTTTGATGGGTCGTTCATGTACTCCATGGAGTTCAGTTCTTGGGAATTAGCTGTCATTTTGGTCACCATTCTTAGGACACTACTGTCTGAAGATGCAGCCTCCATTTGCTTGCTCTTTTCACCAACCTCAGCAGAGGCTTCAGCAAACTGCAAAATATGTAAAACCAAGTAAAGAAACTTCAAAAATAGACATGTTAAGATCTTAGAATATGAGGCGTTGAGTTTGGAGAAGTTTAATATAAAGCACAGATTTTGAAATTAAGTAGCAATTTTTCTTTTTCATATTTTGTCAAACTTCACCATGACAAGGAGTAGATGAAGCAAGATTAGATAAGAAGTCACTCTGCCACCCATCTCTTTTCCTTGGTTGAAAAAGATTCAAGTTTTCTTCGACTTCTGCTCACTGTAATATAAGGTGAGATGAGATATAAAAAGTGGTGTGGTAAATTTTTTTCTTTTTCTACATGTGAAGTAATTGATGAGATATTGCTTTTTCAGTTGTCTATGCTTTCATGTGGGACATTGCTTATGTTTCCTCTTTATTGGTTGCGTTTATATGCTTCCAAATAGCTCAATGTACGATTTGGGAATTAAGAATCTTGAAAAGATATGCTTTTTAGGTAGACAGTAGACACCATGATCATATGGTTTAAGATAGCTCTATGGTTTCCTTTGTATGGTTACAACCTCAAGGAAGTTTAATGTTGGATGAAAATCTTCAATATGTAACCTTCTTGGTTGAGTTATCATTAGTGGATAACCTTTTCTAGATCTTTAATTAGTGTTATGAAAAAAATTGGATTTTCTTATCTTTAAATAAAATTATGAATAAACTTAGTTCCTTTTCTATATGTTTTTTTTTTTTTTTTTGGGAAAAAGAGACTTCATTGATGTATGTGAGAAACATACACAAAAAAAGGAAACCTATATAAAAGCACTCCAATTAAGAGATATAGTAGATGTATTGTAAGTACAAAAAAGATTAGATTTTGTAGACCAAAGAGAAGCAGTGACTGTGATGTCCTCCCAAATGTTGGTTGTAGTCTTCGAAAAATCTGTAAATGTTTGGTGATTTCTTTCTAACCAAGTATGCCAAAGAATAGTACTTATAACATTGCTTCATAATACAGACTTCTGGTTAGAGGGAGGAATGCTAAGATTTTCTGTGATGAATAAATCGACTTGGCAAGGAATCGCACTTTGGACCTGAAAAATGTAGAAGAGACGATGCCATAAACTTGCAGTAAAAGGGCAATGAAGGAAAATATGGTCCAAAGTTTCAGATGCCGATTTGCATAGTGGACACCAACTGGGACTGATGTATATATGTGGAAGACGATTCTGAAGCTTGTCCTGTGTGTTTAGAGCTTGATGAAGAATACACCAAAGAAAAAATTTATACTTCTTCGAGATGAGTAAATTCCATAAGGTGGAGAAGAAGTTCTGGTGGTGGGAATGAGAGATAATCCTGGGTCGAAGGCAGCGTTTAATTGACTTCACTGAAAAAAGACCATCAGTGGAAAGAGTCCATTTGGGAGAATCTTTCCCATGAAAATTCGCCGGAACGGGAAAAGTAGAGGATCAGAGAGACCATTGTGCTTGTTCCCTCTCGAATAACGGTATTCTCAGAGCGAAATTCCAACAACCAAAGTCCATATCCCAAGCTTCATAGACTGTCATATCTTTTCTACTTGTTAAAGCATAGAATCGGGGAAGAAGTTGACATAATGAGCCATTACCAGTCCAGTTATGATGCCAAAAGAGAATCTCACAGCCACTGCCTATTTGCCAAATGAGATTGTTGCAGAATATATCCTTTAATTTCAAAATATGATACCAGGGGGATTTGGAGCTACCATATTTGTTATGTGAAGGCAACAATTCGAAGGGTCTTGTTGTGTATTTAGCCGTAATCAGTGAAGCCCAGAGACTGTCTTTTTCAATGAGAAAACGCCAAATCCATTTACTAAGAAGAGCCGAGTTGGTGTATTCAATATTGCCAATATCCAAGCCACCACAGTCTTTAGGCAATGAAACATGATCCCAACGTACTAAGTGAGCACTTTTATCGTTTTGACAGCCCTCCCAAAGGAAATTTCGCATTAATCTTTCTATGCTTTTGCAAGCTTTTTTAGGAGCCCTAAAGACTGAAAGATAATAAGTTGGGAGGCTACTCAATACCGATTGTATCAGAGTTAATCTTCCCCCTTTTGATACATACGAAAATTTCCAGCTTTCAAATTTTCTGTGAATCCTCTCTATAATAGGAAGCCAAAAAGAGTCCGATTTTGGATTACCTCCTAAGGGCATGCCGAGATAAATGATTGGGAGGGGGGCAGCCGGAATTTGCCATGACAGAGCCAATGCCTCCAATTCTTCTGATGTGATATTAATCCCAGAAAAGGATGACTTGTGGAGATTGAAGCTCAAACCCGAAGCAAGTTCAAAAGATTTTATGAGACTTTGAAGATTCTGTAGCTTCACGACATTTGGGCTTGTAAAAAGTAGAATGTCATCGGCAAACAAGTGTGGTGAGAKATTTAAATCCTGCTGTCCGATTTGAAATCCTTCAATAACTCTTTTTAGTAGCTTCTGTTAGAAGACGGCTCAGATAATCCATAGCCAAAACAAAGAGGAAGGGTGAAAGAGGATCACCTTGGCTTATGCCACGGRAAGCAAGGATTTTACCGCGCGGCTTCCCATTCAACAATACTGAATAAGAAACAGACGATATGCACCCACGAATCCACTTTTCTCTATGTTATATCAATTTTCTCATGAAATTTATAATCATAGTTTGTGGAGTCTAATATTACAAAAATTCAAGAACTACCATTAGTTGGCCTTAATGGTTGTTTAATTAGGCCAGTAGAAATCAAAAGTCTAGAGGGAATAGGTACTATTGCGACATCTGAGTAGGGAGAAGGGGTACATGAATGAAGCAAAACCATACCCGAATGAAAATGATCCTGAGATCCATGGAAACATGATTAAGAAAGACTTAAAAGAATTGACAGCAACTTATACCAACAAGGTAAAGTGTGCTTGACTTGGAACAATGTGAATGAGGATAAAGCATGCTGAAAGGACTCGTATTGGGTCCGTACGGATAATCTTCACTCTTAGAAGCAGCGAAAAGGTCAAGGTGAGATTAATAATTGTTATGTGTATATAGTCGAGGTACGTACAAACTGTCGAGAGAGTTGAAGATAAATTAAAGGGATGAATCGTGAAGGTTGAAGGACACTCTCGACCTCAAAGGCATAAAAGTTATTGTCTGACATGAATGCAAACTACTCGAGAGAATTGGTACTACCACATTTTATGGCACTAAGCAGATAGGGTTGTAACAAGTAGATGCTCTCTTTTATTTTAGATCATATGTGATGGGAAACCATTGAGATAATTTTTTCAATATTTTGATAACAAAAATTCTTTACCGCAAGTGTATGTATCAAGTGGTAAGTAAATATAAACATACGGTGAAATTAGGGCTTGTCAATATATCTTTTGAATGTTCATGAAGCTGAGGGACACTTATTTCTGTCCAGTCAATTGATTTGAAGGTCTGCCCAGCCAACTCATTTTTCTGCACCTTTGGTAAAGGTAATGAATTTGAGCCACTGGAAGGCAATAATTGAAAACCCAATGGAAACCCCCTGTTTTTTTCTCCAAATATTGGGATGTTTTTTTCCAAAAAGATACAAAATTCTTCATCTGTTTGATGGATATCTGTTGCATTATCCAGGGAGGCCTCAATATCCATGACAAATTACATACAAGGTTCCCAACTTTAGCCATTAATCCGAGCAGGTGGGTCTCATGCTTTCGTCATTCTGGATCATTGGACCATCTATTACTGTATTCCCATTATTTAGGTTGTTTTGATCTGTTATTTTTCGGCCATTTCAATATTTGCTTGCCTCTCTCCCTACTTGATGGATGATTTCATTAAGGAAGCATTATATATCCCCTTAAAAAGCCGCAGGGACCTTCTATATGAAGTAACTCTTGTTAAGGATCCACATTGATTAAGATAAGGGATTTAATAAGGGTTTATAATATAAGTGGGCTACTCCTCTTACGATCAGTTGATTTTGAGATGAAACTCCATGAATATTGATAATCCTATTATCTTAGCTCTTTGGAACATTTGGATGGGCCACAACGATCATATCTTCTCAGATTCTTCAATATTTTGTGCTCATCTTTGGGATGATTCTAATCTCTTCTTAATCTTCTAAATGATCTCTCTTTTTTAATTACGATATAGCTATCATTTCTCTCCATTGCAGCGCTTTCATCCAGTCTCCTCTCTTTTGTATGTTGTTCACGTACCCGTATTAATGAAATGATATTGTTGGGTTTGTAAAAAGAGTGTAAACAAAATCTCATATTGGTTAGGGAAATGAAGTAATCCATAGTATATAAGAGAGGTCAATTATCTCCATTAAATGAGGCAGTTTAGGTGAAACCAAAAGTAAAACCATTGAGGATTATGTCCAAAGCGGAGAATATCATACCATTATGGAGATACTTGAACGTATAAGAGTACTACAGTGCTTTAATAAAAAAAACAAAAAAAAGCAAAGAAATAATTCATTCTTGTAGTGGAGCATCACAACCAGTGCTTTAATAATTCATCATTGGGCCATTGAAACTCTGACCCTCAGCACGAGATTTTGCAACTCAATAATTCTTCTCTGCTTGCATTTGCATACAACTAACACACATTTTGAATATGAGAGGCAATAGGACACTCAATAATTGTACTGAGTGAACGGAGATATATCAAATCAAACTTAATTGTACGTCTGTGGGACATGCCATGTACTCAATAATTGCAATAATTTAAAGATTCCATTTTCAACCAGGTAAGTGTTTAAGTTACTGTGAGGACTGTAAAAAACTCCATCTTTTGGTTACTAGCTGTCTATTTATAGTAACAATTTGTGCTTGTTCTCAGCAAACTCATCAAAGGAGGGACTTGAATTTTAGTGAAGATATTGAATGATATGAAGGGGGTTGTTTTCATCACTTTCTTCTCGCTTATATTGGTGAGCAATTTCATTCATCTCTTGCATTGAGCTAAGAACACATTTTGGTTTTGAAAAAGCATTTGCTTGACACATTCTAAATTAAACCAATTTTAATGCATGCGAAATGATATGAAAATTATTGTACATTGATATTTACGTACATATATATCTGAAACTAGATCATCTAGTGGATTTAGTAACATATGGTGCAATCTAATTTTCTCTTGCCCTCTTTTTATGGGGTGTTTAGATTGTAATCACTACAGAATCAAGACATGAGCCAGGAGATCATCAAAGGAGGATAAATGTGTTAAAAGATGATTTGTTGCCTCAAGCAGATCATTGTGACGATTCAAAGCCATCTTTGGAAAGTGAAGGGCCTCTTCTTAAGGATATAAAGCCTCAATCATTCGTATTTGACTACGCACATGGTGCTAAACAACAAGAGTCGTCATCGAATGATCCACGAAAGCCTCTCGGCCTTCAGGATATAAATCCTCAAGTGTTTGTATTTGACTATGCACATGGTGTTAAACCAAAAGAGTCGTCCTTCAATGATCCACAAAAGCCTCTCCTTAAGGATATAAAGCCTCAGTCATTTGTATTTGACTATGCACATGGTGCTAAACCAAAAGAGTCGTCCTCCAATGATCCACGAAAACCTCTCCTTCAGGATTTAAAGCCCCAATCGTTTGTATTTGACTATGCACATGATGTTAAACCAAAAGAGTCGTCCTCCAATGATCCACAAAAGTCTCTCCTTAAGGATATAAATCCTAAGTCATTTGTATTTGACTACGCACATGGTGCTAAACCAAAAGAGTCGTCATCCAATGATCCACGAAAGCCTTTCTTTCAAGACTTAGAGCCTCAATCGTTTGTATTTGAYTATGCACATGGTGTTAAACCAAAAGAATCTTCCTCCAATGATCCACAAAAGCCTCTCCTTAAGGATATAAAGCCTCAGTCATTTGTATTTGATTACGCACGTAATGTTAAACCAAAAGAGTCATCCTCCAATGACCAACAAAAGCATCTCCTCAAGGATATATGACCTCAGTCATTTGTATTTGACTATGCACATCATGTTAAACCAAAAGAGTCATCCTCGAATGACCAACAAAAGCCTCTCCTTAATTATATAAAGCCTCAGTCATTTGTATTTGACTACGCACATCATGTTAAATCAAAAGAGTCGTCCCCACAAAAGCCTCTCAAAGATATAAAGTCTCAATCATTCGTATTTGATTACGCACATGATGTTAAACCAAAAGANCTTAATTATATAAAGCCTCAGTCATTTGTATTTGACTACGCACATCATGTTAAATCAAAAGAGTCGTCCCCACAAAAGCCTCTCAAAGATATAAAACCTCAATCATTCGTATTTGACTATGCACACCATGTTAAACCAAAAAAGTCGTCCTCCCATAAATCCACAAAAACCTCTCCTTAGGGACATAAAACCTCTCCTTAGGGACATAAAGCCTCAATCATTCGTATTTCACTATACACGTAATGTTAAACCAAAAGAGTCATCTTCCAATGATCCACAAGAGCCTTCATTAAGGAATGAGAATCTTTTGAGTGAAGCCATTGAGCGAATACCTTGACTAATATAATGCAAGCAAATAAGAAAATGTGTAACTGTGAGATTGGTGGAATAATAGTACCATCCACATTATGTTTTGTGAGATATTCTTCCTGTGTAGCTGTGTGGTAAGTTAGGTCTAACAAATGTAGCTTTTAATTACCCAGCTTTGGTGATGTTTGTATGATCATGTTTTTCTTTCAAATCCATGTAGAATGTAATAAAATAACTCTATGAAGTTTCAGTTCTCCACTATTATTTTTTCAGTTTCTGACAGCTTAATCAACTCGTTAATGAAAACATCAATAAACTACAGAAAGGAAAAAAGATATATATATATATATATATATATATATATATATATATATATATATATATATGAGTCTTCTCCACTCGAAAAATCATCGTCATAGTTCAATATTTCATTGATTAAATTATTTATCGACGATTTTTTTTCATTGTCAAGTTTGTTGGCAGATATTGTCCCGGTGAACTTTTGACCACGAATTTTAGATTTTGTTGCCATGTCTTTGACAATGAAAACTATGTTTCATCGCCCAAGATGCCTATGGTGATGAAATTGATCTCTCATTTGAAAGTGCCAAAAGCCGTCTTCTCAATATCATATGATTGTTGGATAGCACGTTAGAAAAAGCATGTCATGTTCATACGCCATAGGTCTCACTTCTGAGAGTAGTCCACTTTTCTAGGTGCAAAAAATAAATGCGAGGCCCAAAAATCGCACATGATATTTTTCAATATATATAATATAACTACCTCGAAGAGAGTTATTTTAGTAAATAATTGAGTTAATTGGTACGTTAATGGAGTGTCTTTGTATAAATCGCATGCTTAAGTGWGGAATTGAGTGAAAAAACTTATTACCACGTTCTAMATCCTCATGTTGCTGAATTTACGCAAGTGTCTGCTTATTTCCTCTTTTTTGGTTTAATTGTGCTGAATTTGAAGAAGTTAATGAGAAACAACAGAATTAGAGTAGAAGTGTCAGAGCGTTGCTAGGCTAGAGATGTCGTSCTGGAGCATCGCTTGCTGCAGAAATTCCTGAGCAGAGTAGTAACATGTGGGATTTTACTTATGTATGTACAATGTGCGTTTTACTGAATTTTGCCCTAATTTTTGGGAGAGTTACAAAAGCAACAARATGGAGTTGTCTCATCATCAATCACAAGGGGGAAAAGATCCCAAGAGAGGAAATGATTCTAAAAAACATGCTGAAGACAAGGAAAGYTACCCCCATTTTGAGAAGAAGTCGACGGAAGGAAGCTGGATCGGAACTGCTGGTTTCTCACTGACTTGGAGGTTTCAGAGGATTTCTCTCAAAATTTTTTTTTTTACCAAATGAGTTGTTTCTCTCTATACCCATTGTATTTTGCTACTGTTGAATAGAGTTGATATAATATTTTCATCTTATTTATCTATGCTGGCCACATTTATAACTTTGTTTGTTCTTGTATGACTCGGAAGGGTATATAGGTAGCGTGTTTGACTCTTTTCGTGGTTAGTTATTTTTTTTTAGTAAATTTGTGGATTCTTAAGGATAATGTTTGCCTAACCATGCTTATAAATTGTTATTTATGCTTGGGTATTTAGTAACGAAAGTTGTAGGTATTAATTTTGGGTGTCTTGGAATAAGGGAACCACGTCGGTTTGACCATCAACATACGATTTTATGCCAGAGCATCTTCTGTAGCAAGTGAAAGCATATAGTGATCCCCCGTACTCATATCATTGTCTGTTTTCTACGTTCGTTTTGTAATTACATTATTTGTCTCAGCATATGTAATTACATTATTTCTCTCTTGGAATGTATTTTTATGTTTTTATAGTATTTTACTTCTAGTTATACAACCATTGATTATCTTTTATTTGCATTCCTTTTTGGTATTTTTGAGTAGAGAGTAATATCCTTATTCCTGTGGATTCCGACCTTGTTTATACCATAATCGACCAGAATATKGTACACTTGCACGTGCATCACATTAGTCGTGGACATGAATATATACACACATATAACATAACATATAAAAGTAAGTTCAAAAACGTTTTAGAAAAAAATTAAAAATTAAAAAAAACCTTTCAGCATAAAGAGTCAATGCTATATCAAATTACAGGAAAACGATCTTAAAATGGTTCCTAAAATAGTAGGTTCGAAATGAAATCTTAAAATGGTTCGACAATACCTATTATGCTCCGTTTGACGTTAAGAGTTCGAATGAAATGATTTCAAATTCCAAAATTTTAAATTATGGAAATGATTTCAAATTCGTAATTGATTTTGGAAAGCAACAATTTTTAACGGATTTTAAATCAATAAAAAAATTTTATTTTTTGTTGGAATGATTGCAGAAAATGAAAAGAAAGTATTTATTTTACCATTATATCCTTGTAAATTAAACAAAATCATAAAGTATTCCTCTATATCAGAAAATAAACTATAATTTTATTTTTGTATGAACCCTCGTTTCCAGACGTATTTGATTGCCTCCATTTTTTTCGTCACCCTCCTCTTTCTTTATCTCCCTTCTTTATACTTCTTCTCCATTTTCTTTTTCTATTCTTATCTCATCTCTTTCTCCATTTCTCTTTCTTTCTCTATTTTCTCTTTCTTTTTATACTTCCTTCCATATTTTCTTTATTCTCTTTCCATCTCATCTCCTCCCCCATTTTATTTCGTCTCTTTTTTTATTTCATCTCATTCTCAATTTTCTTTCCTTTTTATCTCATATCATTATTTCTCTCTCTTTTTATCTCGCATCATTATTTGAAATACTAGCACCACCTCCATTTTAGAGTTTTTTTTTTATTCAGTTTGAGGGTAAAATTATAATGTAATCAACTTTTAATTAAAATCCTATCAAATCCGTTTTGATGGAAAATGTTTTGGGATAAAAGGAGATTTCAAATTCTATTTTTTTTTATTCCAACCAAACATCGGAAATGATTTAAAAATCAAATCCTGACAAATCCAGGCTTCCAAGGAGGGGTTAGTGTTTTGGTGTTGTTTCTGTGATATTGGAGAAATCGTCGGAGAAATTGCAAAGAGAGGGAGTGATCGCAGACGGCAACGGACGAAGGGCAGAAATTATTAGTGCGTGGGAAGGAATAGAAGAATGAAGAAGAAATGACGTGGCGAGGAAAAGAATCTTAGTGACTGTTGAGATTCTTTAAAAATATATAATAATAATAATAATAAATAATAATAATAAAATAGTAGTAGTAATAATAATAATACAATCTTGCTAAAAGCGAGATTATAGCTCCATCTACCTCTAACTTAGAGGAAAGAAGTGCACTTTTAACGATAGAAATGTCATAATTACAGGACGATTACGATTCACATAGGAATCAATATAAGATCGTTGGGTGGGAAGATATGGCAGATCGGGACGATCCCTGGTTTGGTTTTGAGCACTCGAAACGACACATGGTCCGGCGTCCAACCCGACGTATCCATGTGGCAAACGGCTGCAGCCATTACCACATTTCCGTTATCGCCTTCCAATAGAATTTGCAGCGCCTTGTCGCCACCGTGTAGGTAATGACAATAGTGAACCGCATAGGGATACGTCATTAAGTGGCAAGCCAAGAACTTGGTCACTGCGTTCGGCATTTGGAGGAGAGTGTAGTTTTGGAGATAAGGGGGACGGGGTTTGGTGAGATGGGTTGTTACCAAATGTTTGAGAGAGGACTTGGAGGCCAAGCCTAACGCTAAGCGGGCGAAATCCGCCATGGATTCCATGGAGGTACTGCAGAACTTGGTCTCTCCTTCGACGCGTTTGTGTTCGCATTGATGGAGTGTAGTTTCCACGGCTCGGGCTTGGCGGGAGCCTGGGGAGAAAGAGAAGAATCTAAGGATTTCAGGGAGTTGTTCGAGCGAGAAAGGGATTGAATCAGCAATTTCTTTGGCCACCATGGGAGGAGAGGTTGAAGGGTCTTTTGGGGCTAAGTAGAGAGGCAGTTTTTTGCCTAATTTCAGGTCATTTATGGTGAAGAAAATCTGTGCAGGGTCGTTCATGTGCTCCATATGGGATGATGAAGAATCATCAGCATGATGTTGTTGGTCAGCCATGGAGTTCAGTTCTTGGGAATTGTATGCCATTTTGGTCACCATTTTTATGACACCATTATCTGCAGATTCAGCCTCCATTTGCTTGCTCTTTTCACCAACCTCAGCTGAGGCTTCATCAAACTGCAAAATATGCAAAACAAGTAGAAAAAAACTTCAGAAATAGACATAATTAAGATCATAGAAAGAACTTAGAATGAGATCTTGAGTTTGAATTAGTAGCATTTTCTGTTGAACTTCACCATAACAAGGAATAGAAGAAGCAAGATTAGACAAGAAGCCACTCTGCCACCCATCTCTCTTGCTTGGTTGAAACAGATTCAAGTTTTCTTCAATTTCTGCTGACTGCAATATAAGATGACATTGAGATTAAAAAAAAAGTGGTGTGGTTAACTTTTACTCTTGGAAGTAATTGATGATGTGTTGATTTTTCATTTGTCTATGCTTTCATGTGGGCCCTTGCTTATGTTTTCCTTTGTATTATTACAATTGAAGGAACTTTGATGTTATTGGATGAAAATATTCAATATCTATTCTTATAATTGGTTGAGTTATCATTAGTGGATAAACCTTCCTAAGCTTTTAATTAGTGTTATTAATGAATTTGGGTTTCTCTCATTTTTTAAATAAAATTATAAATAAACTTAGGTCACTTTACTCTATATTATATCATTTTTCTTGAAATTTATAATCATAGTTTGTTTTTGAATTAAAAGAGAAATCGAAGCCGTTTCATTCAAAAAAAAGAACGAAGTAGGTGAGGAATATACACACAAAATAGAAAAAACTAAAGCTAAAGAAAAGTTTTCCAATTAAAAGAAATGGTAGAGATATCATCATTTTTTTTTTTAAAAAAAAGGGGGATTTTGTTCGACCACAAGGAGACCTTTGTTCTGATATTGTCTTAGAGCCGCGAGTTGGATCTGTGAACTCCCCACAGAAGAGGATCGATTATTTCTCTCCAACTACCAAATATTTTAAAGAATTCAACCAACTGCATTACACTATAAAATGTTCCTGCCATTTGATCTAGAAGTACAAAAGCTTTCCTTTATAAAATCTTCAACATATCCTGGAAAGGAAGGAGATAAAGTGTCAAAGAGAATGCCAGATGGAAGATGAAAAAGGGCAATGAAGTAGAAGATGGTCCAATGATTCATAGCGCTCCTTTTTGCAAAGAATCCACCAGTTTGGCCTCAGTTGGCTTCACAAACTATAATTACAAATTTATAATCATAGTTTGTGGAGTCTAATTATAAAAATTCTAGAGGTACTAAGTTGACCTATATATAATAATGGTCATTGGGATTACGAGAAAAAGTAAATGACCTGAAGGAAATGAGTTCAAAGCATGGTATCCACTTATCTCCAAGGGATAGCTTGAGGGGCTTGGGACATCAAGGAATATCCTGGCGTAAAGGCCAAAGGGCGACCGACCTCTCGATGATGATGATGATGATAATAATAATAATAATAATAATAAAGAAACATGGTGGCCACCTGTCTAAAATTTAATATATCTTATGTAATTATTTGGCAACAAAAATAATGTTCTATAGAAGGTTGGTTTCAAGTGTATAGTTGAGGTGCATGCGTGCAAGCTGCCTAGACACTCGTAGATAAATCAATAAATTAGGAGGAATCGTGAAGTTTTAAGGGTACCTCAACATCAAAGGCGTAAAAGTTATTCTCGACCATGCATGCAAACTCGAGAGTACTAGTGCTACAACATTTTATGGCACCGAGCAGGTAGGTCGTAAATTAGTAGATGCTCTCTTTTAGTTGTTTTAAGAGCTTATTGTGAGACTTTCTTTTAAATACTGTAGTAGCAAAAATTACTTACCGCAAATGTATGAGTTAAATAGGAATTAGTAAATAGGAATGTTGTCCTGATGAAGAGGAAGGTAAAATCAGGGGTCATTTAGAGACTTGAGGGACACTTATTTCTGGCCAGTCAATTATTTGTGGGTCTCCAAACATTCAATCATTTTCCTGCACGTTTAAATTTGAGGCACTGGGAAGGCAATAGTCGACAAATGCCGATATAATTCACTCTTGTAGTGTACAGCACCAACCATTGCTTTAATAATTCATCGATTGGGCCATTGAAACTCAGACTCCTCATAAGATATTTCGAGACTAATAAATAATTCATCTGTTTGCATTTGCATACAATTAAACACCACCACACATTTTGAATCTGAGGCATCTGAGTGAAAGGACCTAATAATTTATAATATGATGGTGGTCAAATTCAAAAATCGACACGTTTACGTTCCAACTCAGTTCGGAGTCACTAGAAGTCACAAAACAAACCCTTCATACCCACCGACCGCTGATTCGCACTGAGCTGAGATGAATAAATAATATCATCCGACCTAAAGTCCGACCACCGACCTCGGGCTCCACAACTATAATCGTTGGTCGGAACAGTTCCAATGGTCTTGTCTCCTCTGCCTGCCTATAAAAGGGACATTCCGTGCCACAAATCAAGTACGCAATTTTGTTCGAGACCGACTTACTACAGCTCGAACTCACTCTAACTTGGGCGTTGGAATGTTTGTTCCCTGTACAAGTCCCACGGTGGTTTGAGGTCGCACTTTGGCAACTCGCTCTGGTTATCTCGTGTGACTGACCTTAGCTCGGCGGATATCTGCATCAACATAATACAAGTGAGCTACCTCTCTCATTGTCAATTAGTTTTAAGATGTAACTCCATGAATATTGACAGAGCTCGAAAGTTCAAACGTGCATCCAGTTTAAAAGGAGGGAAAGATAACGTTTATTGCAATAATTGGATGATTCCATTTTGAAGCAGGGTAAAGATTAAAATCACAAAAGGTTATTTGAGGACTGTACGTAAAAAAGTAAATTCCATCCTCCGATGTCTATTTATACATAGTAACAATTTGTGGTTGTTCTAAGAAAACACATCAAAGGAGGGACTTGAATTTTAGTGAAGATATTCAAAGACATGAAGGGGCTTGTCTTCATCGCTTTCCTCTCACTTCTATTGGTGAGCAATTCCATTAATCTCTTGCATGCATTGAGCTAAAAACACATTTTGATTTTTGAAGGGCATTTGCTTGATATGTTCTAATTCACCATTTTTATGTGGAATGATATGAAAATTATTGTACATTGAAACATATGTGAATCTAGACCATGATATAATGGATTTAGAAACATATTTTACAGTGCAAAATCTTCTCATCCCTTTCTCTGTTGCTCTCTTTATGGGGTATTTAGATTGGAAGTACCATAGAGTCAAGACGTGAGCCAGGAGATCGTAAGTGGAGAAATGTGATAAAAGATGAGTCGATATTGCCTCAAGCAAATAACTATGATGATTCAAAGCCTCATCTGGAGAGTGGAGAGCCTCTTTTTAAAGATGTAAAACTTCAATCAAACTTCTGGAACACTCGTGAAAGTGGGGAGCCTCTCTTTAAGGATGTAAAGTCTCAACCAAATTTCTGGTATACTCGTGAAAGTAGAGAGCCACTCTTTAAAGATGTAAAGCCTCAACCAAACTTCTGGAACACTCGTGAAAGTGGAGAGTCTCTCTTTAAAGATGTAAAGCTTCAACCAAACTTCTGGTACACTCGTGCCCTTAGAGAGCCTCTCTTTAAAGATGTAAAGTCTCAACCAAACTTTTGGAACATTCGTGTCAGTGGAGAGCCTCTCTTTAAATATGTAAAGCCTCAACCAAACTTATGGAATACTCATGAAAATCAAGAGCTTYTCTTTAAAGATGTAAAGCCTCAACCAAACTTCTGGAATACTCATGAAAGTATAGAGCCTCTCTTTAAAGATGTAAAGCCTCAACCAAACTTCTGGTACACTCGTGAAAGTGGAGAGCCTCTCTTTGAAGATGTAAAACCTCAACCAAACTTCTGGTTCACACATGATGTTAAACCAGAAGAGTCGTCCTCCCGTGATCAACAAAAACCTCTCTTTAAGCTGGATATAAAGCCTCAACCAAATTTACCAAAACAAGTCATTTAAGGATAAGGATGGGAATGAGAATCTTCAAAGTGAAGCCTGAAGACACATTGAGTGAAGAGTACCTTAAATGCTGCAAGCAAATGAAGAAGATTTAACCGTGAGATTGGTGGAATAGTACATTGTACATCTAGGCTTGCATAATGTTCGTTTTATCTTGTGTGTGATGTTCCTAGCCGATCTTAATTACGCAACTTGTGTGATGTTTGTATGATATGTTTTTCTTCCAAATCCATGTAGAATTATAATAAAAGAACTCTCTCAAAGTTTCACTTTCCACTGCTTATCTTTCGGTTATGATTTATGCTCATTGATATTGATAAAGATAAAATTTCGCCAAAAGGACACGTCATCGACATTTCAATAGGAAGCCGCACACATGTACGAAACTAGGCAAGAGTTCGGAAAACTTGTGCAATAGAATTGCCGAACTCAATTGTTTATTTACAGGACTTTGTGAACTTGGTTCCAACATTCAAATGAATAACCGTGCAACCGTATCTCGTCTTTAATACGTATCTCACACCTAAAATCTCGAAAATAACTGTCAATTTGAATTCTTTACAATGATGGTTATCTTGACTCTCTATAAATACCCTCAAATTAAAAGGGAAAGGTATACGCAAACCTTGATATTGAGATTTCTTGAGCAAATTATATCATGTACTGACAAGACAAGACTTTCAGAGTGCAAACTCATTTTTGCAAGATTCTTCGAGTGTTCTCGAAGATCGTATTGGTTAAATCAATTTTTCTGGCTAAAACAATCATTTATGATAATGCATTCTTTTTTCTAGCTTTTGAACATTATTACACATGGCATAAAACAGGGGAAAGTTTTCTAATATTTCAAAGATTGGTGATAGGCATGCTTCGAGGGATCTCATTTGACAGCTTAATCAACCTGATAATGAAGAAGATCAATATAAGGTCTTCATGCAATGATATTTTTCTGTCTACTTGCATAACTCTAATTATCCCTAATAATATTCTCAAAAAAGAAATTATCCCTAATAATATTTAAGGCAATACAATAGTAGAAAAGGTACCATTCATTTAAAAGAATGTGAGAACGTACATAAAAACGGAGATACCTGGATGAAAGCATTCCAATTGAGAGAAATGGTAGGTATATCGTAATTACAAAAGGGATTGGATTCAGAAGAGCAAGTAGAGGCATTGACAATGTCCTCCCAAAGTGAAGAGCGAGATCTAGAAACCTGAAAAAAAAAAATACAATTGTTCCTTTCCATCCACACATCCTACAGAATTGAGCTAATGACATTGCTCCATCTAATATTAATCTTGCAATTGAGAGGCTTTGAGAGGCTCTCTAGAAAGAGCATTTGAAAGCGGAAGGTAGAACAGTGGACCTGTTAAATTACATGGATGAGATCCGTTTGACTCTAACTTTCTCAGAATTAAATTCAAACTAATGTGATTTAAACAAGTGGCCAATAAGAAAATCAATTGGATAAATTGTATCAATCAAGATAAGCAAAGGGAGCGTAATACGTCGTGCTCACTGATGATGTAATTTTAAATAAATAAACTAAACCATTCATAGGATCGTTGAAGAAGTAATTTAGCTACTCATGGAAGTGAAAGTAATGAAAATGCAAGAGAAGATAACAAAAGAATGCATTTTAATTTAAGGTAGAAAGAAAGTACAAAATGGAACAAATTGAACTGCAATAAAATAAACAAGAGTAATCGCAGTAAAATTAATTGAAGAACAAAACTTAAAAAACTAAAGTTGATAACGAAGTAGAAAGGAGAACAAAAGCATGGAAAAATGAGATGTCTTTTAAGTGATGCTTGGAAGCTCCTTTTATAGGCCATGAAGGTAACAAGATGTGAGAAATGCATGAAAGGCTGGAACCAAATGAGGTTGTAGAGATTTTAGGAACTAATAACAAATCTTAAACATCGAATATAGCGGAAGCATTGTGAAGCTAAAACTTTCAAAGTAACTTGGCTACTCATTYCTCTAAGTAACCTGAGAAATTATGGTCCTGCGATGTGACTCACRCATTGTGATCATCAATCTTCACTTCTCCTTACAAAATAAGAATATTTACACAAATTAGTCTTTTCATTTATCTATAACTGAATTTCAAAGTCCTTAATCACAAAATATGTACATTTTTCCTAAATTATATGCATTAACATACATTTTTCATCTCAAATAAGTCAACTAAATCAAGTCTCATCATTGACCAATACAAAGGCATGTTAAATTACTATCTGACCTAAAAACTAACTTAGGTGGACAAGAATTAAAGATACAAATTTGATTCATGAGATTCAAACCGAAGATCTAGAGGCTGAATAGAGATTATGATAGGAAGGACTTTATTTTATGCGAAAATGATATTGCAGGGATGTGACCACAAATATAATATATTGCCTAATTAACATAATTAAGATTGAGGGACATGCATCGAGCTTTGAGAAAAGCAAGAGTGAAAGTAGAAACATTGAGTAAAATGGAGGGTATAAAAGATATTTAGAATCTTTTAAAAAGTTTTGCAATTCTTTGGTTTTTTTTTTTCTCTCGAATTTTGTTGTGAACTCCTTATTAATTTAACTTTGATCTAATTATATTAATAAGCAGCATAAATGAACTGTAATTTAAAATTTTTTATTTGAATTCTACAATCTTTTATTTCCATCTTTTTCCTTTCAACTCTTCTCCCATTATTATCCTCGTTAAGCAGGATGAGCTTAGATTTCTAGTTGGGTCACCTCAAATTTCTTAAAAATGTAGGGGAAATATTGCAAATATACTCTGCATATATTATTATAACTTTCATTGGAGTGACTTAAAAGTCCTAATTTTTAGGAGAAAAGCCAACTTCAAAAGTATAGAGAAGCCTTATTTATATAAAAGTCATAAAAACTCCTGAACATTTGAATGGAAAAACTATATCGGAATAATAAAACAGTTAAAAGATACTAATAACATATTAACAAAGAGACTAAGTCAATAAATCCACAGAGGCAAGCCACGTCATTAATCTTCAGTGAGCTATATCTTCATATCCCGCAAGTCAATGGAGTATGGATCTCGAACATTGAGCTTGAGCTTCAAACGAGTAAAATTCACAGCAACTAAAGGTTTAGTAAGAACATCAGCAACTTGAGCAGTAGTAGGAAGATGATAAACCAAAGACTTCTTATTAAGAACCAAATCACGAACAAAATATATGTCAAACTCCACACGCTTAGTCTTCGTATGCAAAATCAGATTCGCACTAAGATGGACTGCACTAAGATTATCACACCACAAAATAGGCAGTGGTACAGAAATATGCAAATCAAAAAACAGAGAAGACAACCAAATCAACTCAGTAGCAGCAGTGGCTAGACAACGATATTCAACCTCCATACTCGAACGAGATATAATAGACTGTTTCTTGGAACCCCAGGTAACAAGATTCCCACCAAAAAACACACAAAATCCAGACGTAGACTTCCGGTCATCCGGATCCGATGCCCAACCAGCATCAACATAACCATGAAAAGAAAAATGAGATGCTTTAGATAACAAAAGACCATGATCCACCGTACCCTTGAGATACCGAAGAATCCGCTTCACCAATTGCCAATGGACTAATGTAGGAGAGTGCATGAATTGACATGCTTTGTTAACTAGACGATATCTCAGGACGAGTCGAAGTGGCATATTGCAAAGCACCGACAATATTCCTATAATTATGAACATCAGAAAACGTTTTACTCTGTCTAGCATACAACAGAGGACCACTAACCATCAAAGTGGCAATAGCACGAGCCTCACCCATACGAGCTTTAAAAAGAAGATCCATAATATATTTMGACAGCAACAAAAACAGACCACCTTGAGGAGGATATGAAACCTCAATGCCAAGAAAATAGTTGAGGCGCTCCAAATCTTTTAACGAAAACTGACGATGAAGCATAGAAATCAACCGAGAAATCATAGTCATTGAACTGCTTGTACTCAGAATATCATCAACATACATCAAAATATAGCAACAATGCGAAGATTTATGCCGAAGGAGTAAAGAAGAGTCTGCTTTAGAGTGCACAAAACCCATAGAGTGTAAAAATACACCTAACCGATCAAACCAGGCATGGGGAGCCTTACGTAAATGACAAACAAGAGGATGAGAGCTCGAGGAAGAAAAACCAGCAGGCTGCTCCATATAAACAGTCTAAAAAAGAAGGTCATGAAGAAAGGCATTATTTATATCAATCTGACGAATTGGCCAACTATGAGCTAAGGCTAATGTCAAGAGAACACGAATAGTAGTGGGTTTAACAACGGGACTAAATGTCTCTGAGTAATTAATATCAGGGGACTGATGAAACCCCTTTACCACCAAATGAGCTTTTTATCGAGAAATTGAGCCATTAGAGTTCCTCTTGATCTTGAATATCCACTTACATCTTACTATTTTCTGGATGTAAGGGTTGAGGAATAAGATCCCAAGTATGATTTTGCATAAGAGTATCATACTCCTCAGACATTGCCCGTTGCCAATGATCATGACATAAGCCTCTTTAACATCAACCTCTTGATAATCAATAACAAAGGTCTTAGGCTTAAAAATTCAATTCTTGCCTCGTGTCACCATCGAATGAGAATTTTGTACATAAGAAGAAGAGGGAACCGAAACAGTGGGAGCCGAAGGAGGAAGATCAGAACAAACCGCTGAGACGAAGTGCCAACTTCATGGACAGGCACAGTGAGAGAACCATCAGATAAGGACACATTTAAAGAACCAGTGGGGACAACGGCCTCGGTACCAACAGTCAAAGAACCAACAGGCAAAGATGGAGAATCACTAGGCACCAGATGTGACCCATCAAGAGGCATAGACGGTACACGAGGAGCCGAAATAGAACTGACAGCAGCAGGTATAGAACAAGCAACAGTACGAACGGCAAAAGTCGGACGATTGTCAGCTGATACAGGAATAGCTGGAGAAGAACCAGATACAGAGGGGATAGGTGCAGCGATTGGGGGAAAGAAACAGCTAAAGTAGGTGATGGTGAGTTGGACAACAGAGGAATAGGGAAATCTGTAGAGGCAGTCGAAGAGATGTTCGAAAAAGGAGGAGAAAAATAAGTCTGAATAGACTGAATAGAAAGGTTAGCAAAAGGGAAAGAATGCTCATAAAAAATAACATTTCGAAACACAAAGACCTTACCGGTAGACGACAAACTTATAGCCTTTATATGTGTTACTATAACCAATAAATTAAAAGTGCAAGGTTGAGAACGAAAATCGAGCTTGTGAGCATTAAAAGAACGCAAACAAGGAAAACGTTGACATCTAAAAACCTTTAACCAAGCATGGTTAGGTTTGTGACATAATAGCTTCTCCAAAGAAATCACATCACCAAGGATTGTGGAAGGTAACTGGTTAATGAGATAGACAGATGTAGAAAAGGCATCATCCATAGAAGACTGAGATAACAAAGTTAACCAAGTATCAACAATGTGACGATTCTTGCGCTCAAGAATCCCATTTTGTTTAGACGTGTGAGGACATGTAAGGTGATGAATAATGCCATGTTTTTGAAGAAAATAAGTAAAGAGCTTAAATTCACCACCCCCGTCAGATTGAGAACAAATAATAGAGCATCTCAGATGTTTCTCAACCAATAGTTTTAAATTGAAGAAAAACAGAGAAGGCATCCGACTTGGATCGAAGAAAATAAATCTAAGTATAACGTGAAAAAGCATCAACAAAACTAATGTAATATTTAAAGCCATTAGAGGGTGTAAATGCAAGACCCCACAAATCAAAGACAATTAATTGCAATGGAGCAGTATAAACCGCAGTAGGAGTAAACGGAACGGAAGAGCATGAGATTTACACATAGCACAAACATTACAAAAATGAAATGCCATAGAAGAAGATTTAAATCGTTTGAACACATTTATTATTTTTCTAACAATAGGAAAGGCAGGGTACCCAAGTTGCCTATGCCACAAATCAATAGGAGAAGGAGACACAGCAGGGGACAAGGAGGTAGAAGACGAAAACAGAGCAGCTGGTGTTGGAGACAAGACTTGAGAAGAAGGGCTAGCGGTAGACATAGGAGCAGAAGAAAGAGGAGAAAGATGAAACCGGTACAGTCCATCATGCAGAGTCCCTTGGAGAAGAATGGTAGTACGGTGGTCCTTCACATAGCAAAAAAATAGGAGAAATTCAAAAAAGACTAAGTTATCTCTAACAAACTGATTAACACTTATCAAGTTTTTGGTAATATGAGGGACATGAAGTAAGTTATTGAGATGAAGGATATGATTATTTGAAGTTTGAAAAGATGTATGGCCAAAGTGAAAAATTTTCAGACCTGCACCATTCTCGACTTGCACCTGGTTTCCTCCAGTGTATTCTGTACCAATAGACAGATTGGTAAGATTGTTCCTCAAATGATTAGTAGCACCTGAATCCGGATACCAATTCATATCCTGATTGGCAGTAAGTAAAGCAGACATTTGAGAGGAGCCACTGGAAAAATGTATGTCTAAACCGACCACATAACTGACATTGAACACGACCTCAATTATTCCACTGTTTTCCGCCTCTATTATGTCGACCGCGAGTCCTATTATTAGAACCAGAAGTATACTGAGGAACATTAGAATATATAGGATTCTCATTCTCCTTTCCCATAGTAGGAGCATGAGTAAGGAGATTAGCCGATGGAGGAGTGCCATCCGAATTCACCACAACCTTTTTGCTGTCATTCCTATTTTCTTGTGTCAAGTGTCAAGAGTAGAGCCATAACCTCTTGAACGGTTTGAGGACCGAATTTTGCACTGGTATCATAGATTGAAACGCCGCTAAAGCATCAATACACTTCTTAACTTGCGAGAAATATTCTTTCAGAGAAGAACTACCTTTTTTGGAGATTATGCAACTTCGATTTAATTTTCATTACTTGTGCAAGATTGCGAGAAATAAAAATCTGTAATAAACAGGTCCAAATTTCTCTAGCAGACTTGCAATGTAGCATTTGTTCAAGAAAATCCTCAGACATGGAGCCGAGCAACCAAGATGAAATCAATTTATCCTGTCGTTTCCACTTAGTAAAAATCGGGTTCAATTTCGAACTAGTAGAGGTTCCATTAATGACCTGAATAAATTGCAGAGGAGGATCAATTTCATCTTCAATGTACGACTCTAATCCGTGACCTTCCAAAGTAGTGAGTACTTGAAATTTCCACGAAAGGAAATAATCATCCGTAAGCTTCACGATCGAAATCTTGTTTCCTGGATTAATTAATTGACTGACGGACATTGCATCGGTGTCGGTGGAATCAGCTTCCATGTTTGTCGAAGTTTCCATTGAAAAATCAAGGAAAAGAAGTGTCAATCAATATCACCTCTGTCGTAAGACTTGAGCTCTAATACCAAGTTAAAGTCCTAATTCCAGGGGAATAGCCAACTTCTCATTGGTAACAGAGAAACCTTCTGCCTTATCTATACTATATTAAAAAGATAGGAAGTAGGAAAAACATTTTTGGACACTTTTACCCTTTACTAAATTTACAAATTTACAAATTACGTCATTAATATATTATTACAAATATTAAATTAATTATTAATTATTAATGATCAATACTGCATGGAATATAAAAGGTTAGAATGCAAAAAGTTTTCCAACAACATAAAATTAATTTTTTCTTTAATTAAAATTCATACTAGAATTTTAAAGAGTTTTAGAATTTGAAAAGTTTTTGTAACGTTTTATCCTCTACTACTATAAAAATAGGTTTTCTTCTAAATGTTTTTCACAAGTTTCAATACTTTTTTATTATTAGTTCCTTGAAACATCTCTCAAACATGATTCAATCTTGAGAACATCTCGAGATATTTGTGACATATTCATCAAGTTGCAAGAGAGGCATATGTTGAATCTACATATCTCGAATTACTAAGTTTGTAACATTACTATTCCACAATTTTACAAAGTTGAATAATAGTATCTGTCAAGCAATCTTCAAGAATGAACATATTTACTCTAAAAGATGAGTGTATAGTGAGTACTTGGATTTTTTTTGTTACTATTGTTATTTTTCTAATTAGTGTGTTTTTTATTTGGAATGTTTCTTTTTTTAGCAATTTGATTTAGTTTAGGATTTGGACTTTTTTTTTTGTTACTAATGTTTTTTATTGTTTAGTGTATTTTTTTAGCAATTTTATTTAGAATATTTGTTTAAAATATAGATAATTACAAACTCATGTTCTTATTGTTGAAAAAAAAACAATCATAGAAGTCAGTATATAAAAAAATGTTTAATTAATAAATTAATTATAAACAATAACTTGTATAGAATCGTAAAATGTGGAATATAAAACTTTTGGTCATTTTATTTTCTAATAATATAATTTGAAGAATTTTTCTTTAATAATTTTAATTATAATATAAAATTAAATCAATAAAATAATTTAGTTTTAGTTTTCAACATATACAACAAAACGTCAGCCCTAAACAAATATTTAATAAACAAACAAAATATTAAAAAAAATAAAATAAAGGACCCATATTAGGTTGAAATAATTTTAAAATAAAAATATTAAAATACCTATTTACTTTTTTATTAATATATAATTTTTTCCTTTATTTACAAAATATATGATTAACAATTAACTATATAATAGTATATTTTAAAAATAATTATAAATAGTACATTTTATTATTAGTAATTAGCTGTCAATAATAATAAATATATATAAAAATTAATCTTAATTATTTTTTAAAATAATTATACTTAAAATATTTTACGTGAAATTATATAAAATTTAAGTTACCTTATAATTAAAAAAATTTATACGTGCATTGCACGTGGTAATACACTAGTTTATATAAAAGGCATAAAAACTCCTCAACATTTAATTTGAATGGAAAAACTATATCAGAATAATAAAACAGTTAAAGATACTAATAACAGATTAACAAAGAGACTAAGTCAATAAATCCACATAGACAAGCCACGTCATTAATCTTCAGTGAGCTATCTTCACAGGGTGGCCTGTCCGATTAGAGTGGAAACGATTTGATAGAAGTGTTCATACTTTTGCATGGAGAAAATCTCGATCTTTCCGAAATCATTTAGGTAATTAACGATATTCAGATTCTGAAAGAATCTTATGGGGTGATTTCGTTTGTATAGGTGGGCGTCCCCTCAGTTGCCCGTAAGGTAGGAAAGTGAGAATTGGGAGCTTAGTATCCCTGGTGCCATGGCTGGTCTCTTTGGCCAATAAAGACTGTTGTTTTATTTGATTAGTGAATTATTATAAAAAAAAACTTTCACTCGTTTAAATGGGATTTTTTTAAAAGAAAATTCAAAATACTTAAAGTGGTTATAGAAAATGCTTTTGTATAGTAATTATTGCTCAAGCATTTTGGAAACACATGCATGTGAAGGCTTCTTAAGAGTGTGAAACCAAACCTAAGTTATTTTTATTAAGTATTTTTTACTAAATTGTTTATAATTAAAATCTTTTCATTAGTATAATACATTATTAATTAGTTCCTTAGGTCCAAAGTTTGAATTGATCTCACCCTAAATTTAAAATGAGTAAAAAGCTAAAAACACTTATTTTATACGGTCAGTGCTCTCAAAATTTTTGTAGTGCCCTCAAATTACTTATAGTGCCAAGTGCACTTAGATTTATATAAATTAGAGTACTGTTGACCATGAAATTTTTTTACCATAAAATTTATGCATCACAAAATAATTATTTTATTCGTATGGTTAGACTTGTGAGCATGTTATTGGAAGAAATACATTTTATTGAGGAAAAAACTTTGCTCGGAGCATTGTGCTCTTGACTCTCACAGCTCAATCGACACATAAATATGTGTGTTGGTTTTTTGTTTTTTGTTTTATTTAATTAAGACTCAATATCTCATCAATATTTTGGTTTTCTCTCCTCCCTATAACTTGTACTCAAGTTTACATCACCACAAATACCTCTCCACAATTTAAAGGTACAACAACATTTGTTGCTTTTTATTTCTTCCTTACCATTTATCATCTCATCTTCTACTGCCATCTATTTTCAACTGTTTAATTAGATTGGGAGGTCCAGAGCAACATCCCGAGAAAGACATTTCATAATCGAGGATAAACGATTAATTTAATTACTTTGATGAGATATTAAGTTTAAAAAAAAAATTCAAAAAGCGAACACATGTTTACATATTGTTAGGCAACACGAGGGTTAGTAGCACTAAGGACCCAAATGGGTGTATCAAAATTTTCTAAGGGGCATAGTTGTAATGCTGGCATATTAAATTAACAAGAGATTATTATTAGGATAAAATAGACTTTTGGTCTATGAGTTTGAGAGTAAGTTTTTATTTGGTCCATAAGTTAAAAAACTTAAATAGAAACTTATAGTATTTGTCATTGGCTTTATTTTTTTTGGTAAAAGATATTGGAACCATTTCATTTCAAAAAAGGTACGTGAGCAACATAAAGATTACAAAAGGGAGGTTAGAGGAAAAAGCTCCAATTGAAATCAGAAATGGTAGAGATATCATAGTTACAAAAGAGGTTTGATTTTGATGATCAGACCAACTCAATACCTTGATATCCTAATTTGAAGACATGATTTTTGGGAGTCGAAAAAAGTCTCAAAGCTATTGGTCACTCGCTTTAAGAAATGTTTCTAAAAGATCGTGAAAGTAAGAGAAAAATAATATAAAATTAATAACTATTTCTACATCACTTGAAAATTGTCATTGCCACATCAACATTTTTGGATACTAGTTTAAGTTTGACTCTTAAGGATTTTTTTAGAACAATTTCTTAAAGGTTAGGGACAAATTAATTTAGAGATCAAATAGAAACTTACTCTTAAATGGCTAGATGTGTATTTCATCCTGATTATTATTATTTTGAAAAGGCCAAACACTATTTTTAAAATTTTGACAAGAACCTTAAAATTGTTTTTAGATGTCAGACAAATAAAAAAAAATGTCAGTAATCAAATATATATTTTTAGTTTTATACAATTTGACTTTGATTTGCCACGGGTTTAATAGTATGGTGCTATTTCTAAGACACACAAATACGTTAAACATAGTACAGTTAAAGACATCTCGTTAGGATTGGTAGAGTCAAATCCACGTCGGAATGAGTAAGGGACGAGTCGGAATCAAACCAGGACAAAGAAGGAATGAAAAAGAGTTGAAGAAGTGGGCTGCAGGCTATGGGGTCGAGGAGACAGCGTCGTGGCGCTAGGGACGACATTGTGGCATTGTTGTGATTGTCGTGTGGCAAATTGCAATTGCAGACGTACGCTCGATTATTGGCAGCAGCATTGGGATAATTGGGAGGTAATATAATATAACAAGAATATATGTATGATAACATTTTTTCTTTTTTTAGTACAATATGTTGGGGAGAGAATTCGAAACTCACACCCTCTTAGTTTGAGGTACATACCAATTATCAATGGACATTAAATAAAGTAACATATGTATCACATTTTTTGACAGTCATATTAATATAACATAAACATATAGTAGTTTAATTTCAACTTAGCAATTTTAAAATCATCAGTATTTCATTTTCTTAATTAATCAAATTAAAATAACAAAAAGTATAAAATAAATTTAAATTAGTTAAATAATAGCTGTTTTATCTTTTAACTTAAAGTATTTTAAATTAACAAAATTAAATAACTTAAATAAATCTAAAATGCAATATTGTACTTGATACAATTAGATATATATCTCATAAACTCATGCTTTTCTAAACTTGCCCCTCAAATTCAAACTCCCGCTAAACAAAAAAATTCCTTAAAATTATGGAGGAACTTCCTAATTAATACCCTTTGACAATTAATGCAAATAAAAAAAAATTAATTAAAAAAATAAGGAAAATACTTAGCTCCTGAGAAATTATCTTGCCCTCACTACCTTTGACAACTAAGAGAGATAAATGTAAAAATACACATTTTTATTAAAAATTAATGAGTTGTAAAGTGGGTAAAAGATTTGGTCTTCACCGTTAAAGAACCAAATATTTTCCAAAAAATAATAAGTTGTCAAATATTTAATAGTATTAAGGAGGAAGTTTCTCAATTTTCCTAAAACTTAAACTACCTAAACCCAGCTTAAACTCTTTTCTATTTTGAAGGAGTAAAATAGCATAAATTTAAAAATTCTTGAACTACAATAGACATCTTGAAAGTTCAAAAATTGAAATAAAATAAAATATAATAATTCAAAGACAAAAACGAAATTTTACATTATAAATAAAAGATACGAGATTCGAACACCCAACCAAACCCTAGCATACTTTTATCATTAAGTTATTTTTGTACGAAATAGGTTACATTTATTAGAATCCAAATGAGTCCTAATATTTCCTTGCTCCAATCCCAACAATACTTTAACCTAAGCTGGCTATAAAAGTTCCTACTAACTTTCTAATATTGCGGTATTTTTATTGATTAACTTCTAAAACTCGATAAAACCTTTTGAACCAATAATAATACGTTACATCAAAAAGTCAGTAGGAGCGCTTCTACTCGCAGGTAAGTATTTTCCTAATCCAAACTCAAGCAGGCATCGGAGTTGGAATCCACACAAAATCATCCGCAGGGAAGAAATGGCAAACCGGGTTCGCTCCTGGCTCGGTCTTGAGCACCCGAAACGCGGGATGGCTCGGGCTCCATTGCGACGTATCCATATGGCAGACCGCCATAGCCTGGACTCGGTCGCTGTTGTCGCCTTCCAACGGAATCTTCAACACGCTGTTGTCCCCCTCTTGGTAATGGCAATAGTAAACCGCGTAGGGATAGGGCATGGCGTGGCAGGCTACGAGCTTCGGCGCCGCGATCACCTCGGGGGCGCCGGAGATGGTGTAGTTCTGGAAATGGACAAGGGATTTTGTGAGATGGGAAGTGGTCAGAAGCTGGAAAGAGGAGGGTTTTGTGCCCAATGCAGTGCCTACAAAATCCACCATGGATTCCATGGACGTGGCGCAGAATTTGGTCTCCCCTTTGATGGGTTTGAGCTCGCACTGTTGCAGTGTCTCTTTCACAGCTTGGGATTGTGGGGAGTTCAAGGGGAAGGAGAAGAAAGAGAGGATTTGGGGGAGTTTTTTCAGTGAAAATGGGATTGGATCTGCCTTTTCTTTGGGCAAAAATGGAGGAGATTTTGAAGGGTCTCTTTTGGGGAAGTAAATGGGCAGTTTTTGGCCTTGTTTCAGGTCATTTATGGTGAAAAAAACTATGAGTTGAGGGTTTGTGTGCTCCATATGAGAGCTGTGAAAATTATCTTCCATTTGGGTCACCATTTTTATGACTGAAGCTTCAATATGGTCATTCAAGTTCTCCATTTGCTTGCTCTTTTCACCAACCGCAGCCAGGGCTTCTGCAAACTGAAAAACACACAAAATTTACCAAGTAAGGACAACTTCAAAAATAGACATTAAAATTTTAGAAATAATTTAGAATGAGATCTTGAGTTTGAAGAATTAGAAGCAATTTTTATTTTTTTGGTTGAACTTCACCATGAGAAGGAGTAGATGAAGCAAGATTATTAGGGAAGAAGCCACTCTGCCACCCATGGTTTTTCCTTGGTTGAAACAGATTCAAGTTTTTTTTCCTTCAACTTCCTCTACTCAGTGCAATAAAATGGGATGGGATATATAAAAAGTGGTGTGGTAAAATTTTTAAAATTGGGAGTAGTTGATGATATATTATTTTGTTTTTTTATTATAATTATTGTAATTATTTTTTTGTCTATGCTTTTGTGTAGGCCATAAATAATTGCTTACGTTTCGTCTTTATTCAAATTGGATGGGATATAAAAAGTGGTATGGCAAGATTTTTAAAACTAGGGGCAGTTTTGGCTTTATACTRCAAAACAACCGTATTTTTTCAGATAAATATAGACCTGCAACTCTTCTATGAAATGGATATAAGCGAACAACGGCTTCTTCTTAGTCATCTAAATCTAAGTTCTTTCATAATTATGACATCTCCATTATTTCTTTTAAATTGAAGTACATTTGTTTAGTGTCTCTTTATTGTATATTTCTCACGCACCCTTTTTGAATTAATTGTGTTTTTCTTTCAAAAAAAATTAGGAGTAGTTTTTTTTAGTATAATATGATATGTGCCTTAACTACTTGAGCTATGTTCGGTTTGACAAAAAAAAATGTCAAAAAAAAATTAGGAGTAGTTGATGATATATTATTCTGTTTTATTATTATTATTTCATCTATGGTTTTATGTGTAGGCCATTTGCTTATGTCTCCTCTTTATTGATTGCGTTTATATGCTTCCAAAGAGCCAGATCACGTATGATTTAGGAATGAAGATCTTTAAAAGATTTGCTTTTCGGATAGGGACAATGGATCCATATGTATTAATGATATAGCTCTCTTTTATAACCAAAGTATTAAATTTCCGACTATAGGTTAATATTTCCATATGTACACATGAGTTCGAGAGATCGAATAAAGTGTTGCAAAAAGAAAAGTGATAAAATATAGAGAGAAAAAAAAAAAATATATATATATATATATATATATAATTAACCAAAATATCACTAATATAGACATATAATAATATACTAATATATTAATAATTTTAACGAATTTTTTAGTTTTATAAATACCTGACTTTTTTTTTAAATTGAGACCTTAACATTTTCATTGACATTAACAAAAATTGGGACGTTGATATTTTTATTGACATTAAGGTTTAAAACTTTGGTGGTATAATTATTGAATGAAGAATTTGGTTTTGGACAAAAGGTTCAAATAACTAGACATCCTGTTTATTTTTCTTTTATTTCAACTAGTCTTGCTTGGTTGAGTCATCGCTGATAGAAGATAACCTTCTTCATCTTTAAATAATATTAGGAATTAAATTAGGTTTTCATCATTTTAAAATAATATTATGAATAAATTTAGGTTTTTTTTCTATGCCATTTAAGTTTGTAAACTCTAACAACATCCATAAATCAATGGGTCAAAGAATTATTTACTTCTGATAATTGTCATGAATATACTCAGTTAGCTCAATTAGTTAAGGAGTTTTCCACGTAAATATATTTATTAATTGTTCTTTATTATTATTTATTCTTCCATCTACTTCTTCAAAGTCTTTTGGGCAATAATTGATAAATCTGAATTTCATCATATTTATAATACTTTTTTTTCTTAAAATTCATGATTAGTGTCTTAACTAATTGAGTTATATTTAGGTTGGTTGACATTTATAATACTTATATTAAGACAAGTATAGTAAGTATTTTTTTTAAATTACTACTAATTAAGTTTCTTATTTTCGGCCATGTGGCCAAATATTATGATAGATTTAAAAAATATCTCTTTAAAGCTAAATCACCTTTCACTACTATTATAAAATTTATATCAAATCTATAAAAAGCGTTTTAGTACTACTTATATTAAAACAAAGGTAGTAAGTACTTTTGGAAAATTAGTACTAATTAAGTTTCTTATTTTTGGATATGTAGCCAAATTTTATGATAAATTTAAAAAGTATTTCTTTTAAGCTTAAAGCACCTTTCACTACTATTATCAAATTTATATCAAATCTATGAATTCCTGAGGGATATCATTTGTACAGTTGAATTGGTTTAGACATTGTTTATATCTTTAATAGTCCGTTGTCTGGATCATCTTGAAATTTTCAAAAGCTGATCCAAAAGCCTCTTGTGTTATTTTCCTTTAGGAACTTTCATTTGTATGCTTAATACTGTAACCAGGTGCCCAATCAGTCATTGGTCCTGGTTCAGTAAGAAATTTGGATCATCAGAAGGCAGTATAATTAATATATAACCCAATATGGAGATACATAGGAAGAGACCGCCACAATGTAGTTGATAGTTTTACATTATTGGATGTATAAGAACGAAATTATAAAACGTATTTAAAATTCATATATCCAAAGACTATAAAGGGCCATAACTTATGTCTAATGATATTGTGGTGACTTCATTCAATAATTCAGTACAGATTTTCGATTGTGCCATTGAAATTCAAGATCAGCGTAATGATATCTTCCTGCTACTAAAATTCTTGTCTGCTTGCATACAATTAAACACCATCTAAGGCAATAAGGCACTCAATAATTGAATTTACACAGTGACATATTAAAGCAAACTTGTACCTTTGTGGAACATGGGGCATTGAGTTTTGAGATAAGGTATTATTTGCAAAACTGAAAAGACTGAAAGATTCCATTAAGAGAAGGTGAAGATTAAAATCACAAAAAATATATTTTGATGACTGTAAAAAATTCCATCCTTTGGTTACTAGCTTTCTATTTATAGCCAAAATTTGTGCTTATTCTCAGCAAACTCATCAAAGGAGGGACTTGAATTTTAGGAAAGATATTGAAAGATATGAAGGGGCTTCTCTTCCTCACTTTCTTAACACGCAATTCTATTCCTCTCATACACTACTTCAACTCATGTTTTAATTTTGAGTAACATTTGTTTGATCATTCTATTGTGAAATAATATGAAACGATCGATATCAAGATCGATGTCGAGATTGTTGTACATTGATAAAACTAGATCAGGCAATTCTTTGATTTTTTTTTTTTCTTGTTTTGTCCTCTTTATTTGGTATTTAGTTTGCAAGTACAATAGAGTCGAGACACGAGCCAGGAGATCGTCAATGGAGAAATGTGATGAAAGACGAGTCATTTCCTGAAGCAATTAAAAGCCTTCTTATTCCTTCCGAGAAGGAAATGGATTGTAATGAAACTTTGAAGCCTGAAGATCATGAAAAGCTTTTCGCTAAGGATATCGAGCCTCGACCACAAATCTCATTTTATCCAAACGACATCAAAACGAAAGAGTCTGGCAGTGGCACCAATGAGAAGCCATTTGCTGAAGATTTTGAGCCAAGACCTAATATCTCTATCTACAACAACTAATTATAATGGAAGCCAAAAGAAGAAATAATGTGTATATTAGCCAGTTGTTTCCAGTTCTTGGCTTGTAATGTTTATATTTTCTGTTGTGTGTGATGTTTCTTTGATCTTCTCTTGCTATGGATAATAAGTTGTGTGTCTCGTGAGCTTGGTCAAAGAAATGTAGCTCTTGTTTAATGCAGCTTTTGGGATGTTTGTATGATTGTTGTTTCTTCTTCCTGCAGAATAAAAGGAAATTCTCTGTAAATTTTATTATTACTATTTCATGCCGTTATCATTTATACTCATTTATGATGCAAAGTTTTTCTAGGCTCAGAAAGAAACATTTAGAAAGGGAATAAAAATGTGAAAATTTTCTAAATTTTAATGGTTGGGATTTAGAGAACTCTATTTAAAGATAGAAGTTTTTCTAAATACAGCTTACACCCAAGTAGGGAAAGTAAAGAAAGATAATGAGATATTTTTGTCGAGGATCTCATCCCTTGAAAAGATGAGAGACCAACCATGAATTTTAATATAAGTGGGTTAGTCCTCTCTTTACTAATTGATTTTGAAATGAAATTGGATGAATATTGATATAGGTAATAGAGCCCAACAACATCAATGAACATTCGGTCCAAAAATAGGATCTAGTCAAAATTGGTGAGCTCAAAAAGCCACAGTCTTAAAGTACGTAGCAAGTTAAGGATCCTACATTGAAGAATATAAAACAACTTATTTATATGAGAGCTCAAAAGCTCAAATGACATCCGGTCCAAAAATGGGATCCGACTAAGATTAGTGAATCCAAGAGATACAATCATGTTAAGGATGGTCCCACCTTGAAAAGATAAGAATCTAACCCAGATTTGTAATAAATTGATACTTTCTGGTGTACCTAAAATTAGAAGAATATTGCCATTAGGACAAAAATAGGGTGGTTTATCTGTATATGGAGAAGAAATAAATGCATGTTTAGTACACTTGATTCAATAGGAAAATTGTCTCTTTCAAGACTATTCTAAAGTGAAGTATACAATCGCCTACTTCATAGCTTGCATGTAAGACATTAATAAATCTTTCCAAGCTAGGTTGGYAATCGAACTCCCACATGGAGCGGAGYTTGAACACACGATCTTTTGGTTAGCGATACATATGCCTTAACAARTCGAGCTAGGTTTAAATTGGTATATTTTTATTTTATAAACTCTTATTATGTCCAYCATTCAACCTAAAAGGTTAAGTTATTGGTTGGATCTAACACTCCTCATTTGTGGAAATCATTATAAATCGAGAGGAAATAACAATGCATGAGCTCAAACACATGGTCTCCCACTTTAATAGGATATTAAATAAACCACCACTCAACTCAAAAGCTTAAGCTTATGGGTTGGGAAAATTTAATTCATACATATGATATCTAACACTCCCTTCACTCATTGTGGCTCTTTTATCTCATTGCTGAAAAGATGGAACCCACGAATATTAATAATTTAACCATTTAAAAATATCATATGTTAAAGTTAAAATAAAACTCACAAAAAAAACGTATATTAGTGTTGGTAATGCGACCAAAGTCTCACATTAACTAAATAAGGAAAAGAACGGGATGAGGACCTCATGGTACCGTTGTTGAATCTATTAATGTTCTCAATTACATTTGAAAGAGCGATGGAGAGTTAGAGAGGGAAGAAAATACGCAGAAAAAACTCTAATAATGTACCGTGCATTCTTTGGTATGTTTAAATGGCAAGTTGGTCGAATGAATAAAACCACAGATTTTCCTCATTTTATTTTTATTGAAGAAAATAAATGGAGTAATTATTTTTGTTATTTTGTTGCTTATATCTTTACTTGTCTGTCTGCTCTCATAGATCAAGGATCATGCTCTTCYCTAATCAATGTGAGACTTTATTTGTATTTTCCTTACAATCCAATAGTCCGATGTTTGGTTCCTTTTGAATTTTCATAAGCTGATCTAGAAAGTCTTTCATTATCAATTTGAATATCGTGGATCTTCTTTCTTCTCTTTCTTTTTTGATATCCGTGAGTGTCCATGTCAACTTACGTGCACGATTAATCTTAGGGGCAGTCGTCTGACCCTACATTATTTTGACAAATGAATCATTCATGATGGTTAATATCGTGGATCTCTTCTTGTCCACTCACACAAATCTATGTATTAATGGTTGTTTCTCACACAAATCTATGTATTAATGGTTTTCTATTATTATTTATTGTTCCTCACCCCGTTTTCTTGTAACAAGTCTCCGTTCCAATCAGGACACTCTTTTCTATCCATCCTTCTTTCTTTCTTTTTTTTTTCTCTTTTTTTTTTAGTTTAACAATATGGGATGAAAATTCAAAGATTCTATATTTCGAGAATAGATGTTTAATAGTACAACCAGGTCTCAATCAATCATTCATTTGCCTTCACCCCTTTGTTCAGTAAGAAATTTGGATTACTAGAAGGCAATAATATTGATATGTAAACGAATATATGGAGACTTAATCAGAAGAGACCTATTGGATTTGGAAGGTCGATGCAAACAATATCCCACATTGGTTAGGAGAAGGAAGAATCATCGTGGGTATAGAAAAGATAATCATCTCTATTGGTACGAGGCATTATGGGTGAAACCAAAAGCAAAGTCCTGAAAGTTATGTCCAAAACAAACAATATCATATCATTGTGGAGATAAGTGAGGTACTTGGGGTACCGTCRTCCTTAACAAATGGTATCAGAGTCATGGCCTAAACATCTCGTAATGATATCTTCCTGCAATTAATTAAGTTGAAGTTCTTGTCTACTTGCTTACAATTAAGCACCATCACACATTTGGAATCTAAGGTAATAAGGCACTCAATAATTGATATGAAATGAACGTTAGATAAGCTATTATTGCAAAAATAGAAAGAATGAAAGATTCCATTGCCAAGCAGGTAAAGATTTAAATCACTAAAGGTTATTTGAGGACTGTAAAAAATTCCATCCTGTGGTTACTAGCTGTCTATTTATAGTAACAATTTGTGCTTATTCTCAGCAAACTCATCAAAGGAGGGACTTGAATTTTAGGAAAGATATTGAAAGATATGAAGGGGCTTCTCTTCCTCACTTTCATCACACTTCTGTTGGTACGCAATTCTATTCCACTCCTACACTACAATTCAACTCATGTTTTAATTTTGAGTAGCATTTATGTGGCCATTTTATTGTGAAATAATATGAAACGATCGATATCGAGATTATTGTATATTGATAAAACTACATCATGCAATTCTTTAATTTGTTTTTTCTTGCTTTGCGCTCTTTGTGTGGCATTTAGTTTGCAAGTACTATAGAATCAAGACATGAGCCAGGAGATCGTCAATGGAGAAATGTGATCGAAGACGAGTCATTACCTGAAGCAATTAAAAGCCTACTTCCTATTCATTCTGAAAAGGAAATGGATTGTAATGAAACTTTAAAGCCTAAAGATGAAAAGCCTTTCGTTAAGGATATCGAGCCTCGACCGCAAGCCTCATTTTATCCAAACGACATCAAAACGAAAGAGTCTGGCAGTGACACCAATGAGAAGCCATTTGCTGAAGATTTTGAGCCAAGACCTAATCTGTCTATCTATAACAACTAATTATAATGGAAGCCAAAATAAGATAATTAATTTATAGCCTGCGTTGCTTGGAGTTCTTTCTTGTAATGTTTATCTTTATCTTGTGTGTGAGATGTAACTTATTTCTGGTTTGCAGATGCTATGGATAATAAGTTGTGTGTATGGTGAGTTTGGCCAAAGAGATCTAGCTCTTGTTTAATGCAGCTTTTGGGATATTGTTGTTTCTTCTTCCTGCAGAGTAAAAGGAAATTCTGTGTGTAAATTTTATTCCTCCATTACTATTTGATGCAGCTATAATGTATGCTCTTTTATGATGCATAGCTTAGGAACATTAGAAAGAGGATAAAAATGGAAAAAAAAATTTCTAAAGTTTTAAATGATTGGATTTAGAGAAAGAGAGAACCTTTTTCTAAATCCAGCTTACACCCAAGTAGGGAAGTAAATAAAGATAGTGGAATCTTTTTGTCAAGGATCTCACCTCAAGTCGAAAAAATGGAATCTGTYTAATATTGATTATTAATATTTATGGGGTTTCATCTCAAAACCAATTAGCAATGAGAGGAGTAGTCCATGTTTATTATAAACCATTGTAAGATCCCTCCTCTTTTCAATGTGGGATCTTTGACATGCCCCCTCAAGATATCGTGGCTCTTTTGGCTCATCGATCTTGGCCGGATCTCATTTTTGGATCGGTTGCTCGTTTGAGCGTTTTGGGCTTTGTTACCATATTAATATTCAAAACCAATTGTGTGGCTCTTTTGGCTCATCGATCTTGACCGAATCTCATTTTTGGATCGATTACTCGATGTTAAGGATGAATAAACCACCACTCAACCCAAAAGCTTAAGCTGATGGGCTGGGTAAATTTAATTCATTTATATGGATTCTAACATTGATGAACTCAAAATAGCAACCATCTTTAAATGGCATGTTAAGGATCCCACATTTAAAGATAAGACCAAACTTGGTTGTATTAGAGACTGAGCTCAAACAAGCATTCAGTCCAAAAATGGAATTTGACCAAGATTATTAAATCCAAGAGGCACAATGTTGAGGAACATTTTAGAGATATCTCACATTGAAAATATAATAACCTAACCAAAGTTATAATAGTTCGATACTTTCTAAATGTAACTCAAATTACAAAAATACTGCAATTTGAGTTAAGGTGGTTTGTGTGTGTCTATTCAAGACTATTCTAGAGTGAAGTATACAATCGCCTACTGCATATCTTTTAGGTAAGACATTAATAAATCTTTCCTAGTTGGTAGTCGAACTCTCACGTGGGAGTCGAGGTTCGAACATACAACATTTTAGGTAAGACATTAATAAATCTTTCTTAGTTGGTAGTCGAACTCTCACGTTGGGATCGAGGTCCGAGCACTCAATATTTTACTTAGCGATACATGTTTTAATAAGTTCGTGAGCAATACTCACATTCGCAGATTTTAAGCCGGTGTTATTTAAACATTTAAAAATATTCTATGCTAGAGTTAAAAGCAAACTCACAGAAAAAAGTATATAGTGTTTGGGAATGCAATCAAAGACCTCTCGCTCCCTAAATAAAGGGAAGATCATGGCATATAGATGGAAACCATTATCTTCGTTGATATGAAGTTTTTTCGGTGAAACCAAAAGTAAAACGTCAAATTAAAAGTTATGGGATTAAAATTGACGCCCCCCAATAGGCCCACAATCTTCGATAAATGCTAAATGAACTTTAGATGTATTTCTTTTTCGAGAGCGAGAGTTCATTCGTTTGTATCGTCGTAACTCGTAAGCTGATCACACCCTTGTGAATCTGATCTGGCAACTTCCATCTGTTTCCTTTTAATTCTTTGGTATGTTTAAATGGCCAAGTATGGTCGCATGAAAATGAAAAGTAGAATGAAAGAAAGTTTTGTATTCAATCAGGTTTTGGGCATTTAGCTTTTGTACTGGAGGCCATTGCTCATATAATTTGTACTGGAGGCCATTGCTCATATAATTGGTTGCGTTTATAGAGCTGACAGGTACTGTTTGGGAATCAATATCTTTAAAAGATTTGCTTTTCAGATAGGGACAACTGACATGATCATCTAAGGTTAAAAGTTACATAGCTCTCTTTTAGGAAGTTTGAATGTTGGATGAAAATTTCAAATAATTAACTAACCTTTCCTTTTTTTTTTTGAGTTCAGCTAGTTTTCCTTCTCGGTTGTGTCATCGTTATTGGATATTAACCTTCTTCATCTTTAAATAATATTAGGAAGGAAATTGGGGTTTCCTCAAATTTAAATAACATTATGAATATAATTAGGTTTTTTATATATTTATGGAGTCTTAATCGACGTAAACATAGCTCGATTAGTCAAAGAATTACTTATTTTTTTCTAAAGGTCAGAGGTTCGAATAAACAATTGAAATGATTCATGAGTGTGATACTATTTGTTAAGGATCAAAACAGTGCTCCCAAGTATCTCCAACAATTGTTATGATATTTTCCGTTTTGGACGTAACGGATTTGTTTTTTGTTTCACCTAAAATATCTGATACTGATGAAGATAATTATTCTCATCTATATGCTATGGACATTCTCTTTATTAGTTAATGTGAGATCTTTATTTGCACTTCTTGCAACACCAACACTTGTAGTAAGTTTGTAGTTCAATTTGGACGCTCTTTTCTTTTTCTTTTATGAGTTTAACAAAATGGGGTGAAAATTCGCGTTTAAAAATTTTAAACGGTCTCTGATGTATCATTCATTTATTTACCTAACTTTTGATAAGGTAAGAAATTCGGACAATTGGAAGGCAATAATTGATAAACAAATGAACAACTTATTTGAAGAGACCGTCACAATGTGATTGATAGTTCTCCACCGTTGGATGTATGAGACAAAAAATATAAAATGTATTTCAAATTTATATCCCAATGATTAATTAAAGGGCATAGTTTACCTCAAATGATAATCAGATTCGTATTGTGATGACTTCATTTAGTAATTTTTTCAAATCTTAGAGCAAATAGCTCATTCTAGATTACACCATTGAAACTGAATCAGTAATGACAATTAAAATTATTGTCAGCTTGCACAGAATTAAACACCATCACTCATTTTGGATATGAGGCAAATAAGGCACTCAATAATTGAACTGAATGAAATTACAGAAGTATTTAAAACAAACTTGTACATTTGGGGGATGTGGGGCAATAATGAGTTTGCTTTTACTGCAAAAAATGGAAAGAATGAAAGATTCCATTAATTAAGAGAAGGGTGAAGATTAAAATCACAAAAGATTATTTTGAGAACTGTAAAATTTCATCCTTTTAATTGTTACTTATAAGCTGGGTATATAGAGTATGAGTTTGTGGATGTTCTGAGCAAACTCATCAAAGGAGGAACTCAATTTTTAGTGAATTAATTGAAAGTTATGAAGGGATTTGTCTTCATCGCTATCTTATTACTTCTATCGGTACGCAATGCTATTGCTCTCTTRCATTGCTTAAGCACATATTTTCATTTTGAGAAGCATTTGTTTGATCATTTTATGGTGAAATTATTCGAAATTGATATATGGAAGATTATTGTACATTGATAAAACTAGATTATCAAGTCGATTAAGTAAAAGATCATGCAATTTATCACTAATCCATTTTTTTCTTTTCTTGCGCTCTTTGTGGGGTTATATTTAGTTTGTAAGTATTATAGAATCAAGACACCGAGCCAAGAGATCATCATTCGAGAAATGTAACAAAAGAAGAGTCATTACCCGAAGCAATTAAAATCCTTTTTATGCATTCGGATCCAAACTCACTCCATTCTGAGAAAGAAATGGATTGTAACGAAACTTTGAAATCGAAAGATGAAAAGCTTTTCGTTAAAGATATCGAGCCCCGACCACAAGCCACATTTTATCCAAATGACATCAAAACCCAAGAGTCAGCTGCCACCATTGAAAAGCCATTTGCTGAAGATTTTGAGCCAAGACCTAATGCCTCTATCTACAACAATTAATTATAATGGAAGCCAAAAGAATATATATATAATGTGTAGCCTGGTGCTTCCAAGTTCTTGCTTGTAATGTTTTCTCTCTSTTGTGTGTGATGTTTTTTTCATGCTCTTGCTTTGGATAATAAGTTGTGTAGTGAGTTTGGTCAAAGAAATAAAACTCTTATTTAATGCTAGCTTTTGTGATGTTTGTATGATTATTGTGTTTCTTCTTCATGCAAAATAAAGGGAATTATCTATGAATTTCATTTCTCCATAACTATTTGATCATGCAATTATAATATTTATGCTCATTTATTAATTATATGATGCAATCAGCTCTTGAGCATTACAAAGGACGATGAAATGGGGAAAAGTTTTTTGAAGTTTCAATAATTGGATGGAGACAGAAGCCTATTTAGAGAGATAATCAGCCTATTATAGCCAAGTTAGGACAACTGGATTTTTCTTCAAATTAGTGTCCAATCTCGGAAGGAGCAAGGGGCCTTACTAAGTTTATAATTGAAAAAATTAGACGAGGTCTSATCTGATCAAGGTCGAACCACATAGAAATAGTTGACTTGTTTCGTCGAGGGATGACTTGTACAAGAAGGCAAGCTCTCCGACGTGACGCTCATGTCAGTAATAAGTTCAGACTCAATATCAAGTTCGAGATAGAATGCAATACCTTTCTTGAGAGATGGTGCCATCTATTTATAGGTTGGAGATCTGACATGYAATTATCGATGTTGGAGGTCAGGTCAGACATGTTTCATATTGATTGTCGGGCCTAAAGTAGGTCATATCACATAATGGTGGAAGTCAMTCCATTTTTATTAAGTATGTCACCTCGGACAGGTTCAAGGTAGACCTGGATGCAAGTTAGTCCAGGTGGACCTGTCTGAGTCCTTCCCTTGGTGTCACTCCCATTGGCATCATGATTTTCACCCCAAACAATCGTAGTTTTGTGGGGTCTAGTTTAGTCGAAATCTCAGCCGAATTTAAAAAACTCTATTAAATAAATAAATAATAAATAAAAACTTCAGTTTTATTAAATTATTTCCTCTCCTTGTCTTTGTTTCTTTGTTACTATATTTTTTTAATTCAATTTTTTGACCTTGAAGATTCAARCAATATGGAACGCAACTTTCACCMAATGAACTCAGGGTAGGAACATAATGAACTCCAAGGTAATAAAAATAAGTTCCTTAACATAAATTTTTCATTTTTATTTATTCAAATCTATGATTTATTAATTAAACTCAAATTTATGAGAATTTATGTTTTTAATTCGTTCTAGATTTATTGACAAATCTTTATAACTTACCTCTGATCAGATTTCTTTCCCTGTCAAAATGAGTATAGCTCAACGGCATATACCTCCAATCGACAATCGAGTTTAGCCGTAATTTTTTTTTTATTTCGAGTTGCTGAATAAAATTGAGATCAATAAATCTCGATTTCATAACTAATCTGGATCAAAAATTTTAGATTTGACTTATAATTTTGTAAATTACAATATAATCAACCTTATTCCCTTTCAATTTCTTTTATATTTTTATATGTAAAATTTAGTTTTAAGAAAGAAAAATAAATTGAGGTTGTAAATTTTTTATTCTAAGAAAATGAGGTTAAAGAAAGAAATTTTTTTTTTTTCATTTTCTAGAAAAGTTAAAAAAATAAAAAAATAAAAAAATAAAGTTTTTTGTTTGTTTGTTTGCAGATGCTCTCTATTATTTTAGGGCATACGTGATGGGTAACAACTTTTATGTACGGTTAATCTTAGAGGAGGAGGTAAAATAGAGAAAATAACAAATAGGATTTCATTTAATTATCGATACAAATTTAATAGGTTGTTTATATTAATATAATCTCAAATCATAATTCAAATAGAAAATCTAATTTTAAACTATATCTTAATCCAAATCTAAATATAATTCCAATAACTTTATCTAACATAATCTCAAATCATAATTCAAATAGGTTTATTTTTCCTTTTTAACATATGTGAGGTGTGGGGACTCAATTTCAAACTTAGCCATTGATGTCTTCTAAGCAATAATTTTTTAATTCTCTCTCTAAGTGTGTGAGCAATGAAAAGCAGTTTTAGAGAGTAGTATTAGAGCTTTACTTAAGTGAGATTCTCTATTGCTCTTTTCTTGGTATGACTTTTGAAAAAAGAAAAAGAAAAAACATTTTAAATAAAAGATCTATAAGGACCTTTTGGAAATAATTCCTTAGTAAATTATGTTTAGTATAGCTTTTTAAATAATTTCAGTATTAATATTCATGTTCCATCTCAGAACAAAAAATGGTTTGACCTTATTGGACCTGATACATTCGGCCATAAGAGAAGTAGTTATGTCTATTATAAACGGTCTCTTCTCTTTTTAGTGGTTGGGATCCTTAACGTTTAGATCATTAAAAATGTTTCATTATATATATATATATATTTCGAATTTTATGTCGTGTGACTGCATACTAACTGATCACCTGCCTTGAGCACAATCTCATAAAAAGTATTTAAAACTTTAAAATATTCTATGGAATCAAATGGATTTCAAAACTTCTTTTTTTTTTTTTTTTTTTGGGAAGAAACGGTACTCTAGCGATGGTTGTTCAAAAAGTCAATTTAAAATGGTTTCATTGAAATCAGTGGTAAGAAAAAAAAAATATAACTATGATTAGGCTTAGCAAATGCATAATCTTTTTTTATTACAACATGTGGGGTGAGAGATCGAACTCACGACCTCTCAGTTTAAAGGTATATGTCAATTACTGCTAAGTTATGCATAAATTAAAAGTATTTTTTTTCAAAGTTACATTAGTCACCATGATTTTTTTTAGTACAAAATGTGGGGTGGGGATGGAACTCACAACCTCTTGATTGGACACGTATGTCTATTACTACTAAGTTATGCTCGCTTTGGCGTTAATTAAACATCATCGACCAATTTTTTTTCTCTATTTTTGAGAAATCACCATCACGTACTTTAAATCTGAGGCAATTGAGCTGGGTGAACGTGACATATATTAAAGCAAACTTCTTCCTTAATGCATGTTTGTGGGACATTCACTGAGTTGATTTTAAGATAAGCTATTATTTCAAAAATAGGAAGATTCCTTTTAGAAGAAGCTGGTAAAGATTAAATATTTCACAAAAGATTAATTTAAGTTTGAGAACTGTAAAAAAAAAATTCGTCCTTTGGTTACTGGCTGTCTATAAATGTAAGAGTTCTGTGAGCAAACTCATCAATCAAAGGATCAGGAACTTGGTTTTTTGGTCAGATTGAGAGATATGAAAGGCTTTGTGATCTTCATCACTTTTTTCTCACTTCTGTTGGTAAGCAATTCCATTCCCCTCCTTAAATATTCATGGTGCCAAATGATACGAAATCGATATCATGACTATTCGATGTTTTTGGGGTTCTGATACCATTATAATATTCATGAAGTTCCATCTCAAAATTAATTGGTAAGAGATGAGTAGTTTATGTCGATTATAAACCTTTTTAAAGTCTATTTTCTTTTTGACGTAGATCCTTAACCGTCGATTAAGTAAAAAACCATGCAATTCTCTAATTTATTTTCTTTCTTGCTCTGTGGGGTATTTAATTAGTTTGCAAGTAGAATAGAATCAAGACCCGAGCCAGGAGATCAGCAAGGGAGAAATCTGATCAAAGACGAGGCATTGCTCGAAGCAATTAAAGGTCTTCTTAGTCATTCTGAGAAGAACATGGATTGTAATGAAACTTTGAAGCCTGAAGATGAAAAGCTTTTCGTTAAGGATATCGAGCCTCGACCGCAAGCCACGTTTTATCCAAACGACATCAAAACAAAAGAGTCTGGCAGAAATGAGAAGCCATTTGCTGAAGATTTTGAGCCAAGATCTAATCTGTCTATCTACAACAACTAATTATAATGGAAGCCAAAATAAGATAATTAATTTATAGCCTGTGTTGCTTGGAGAGTTCTTGCTTTGTAATGTTTATCTTTCTCTTGTGTGTGAGATGTAATATCTGTTTCTGGATTGCTATGGATAATAAGTTGTGTGTATAGTGAGTTTGGTCAAGGGAGATGGGAAATCTATCTCTTATTTAGTGCAGCTTTTGAGATGTTTGTATGATTGTCTTCCAAGTTCATGCAGAATAAAGGGAACTCTCTGTGAATTTCATTCCTCCATTACTATTTCATGCCGTTATAATTTATGCTGTTTTTGTCGAAAATATATACTTTTAACTGGCAGCTTTTCTAACTTACGAACATTATAAAGACTATAAAATAGGGGAAGTTTTTCTAAATTTTAAAGGATTGAGATTTGGAGAACTCTATTTAAACAGAGAATTATTGGGATTATGGAGCCAAAGAGAAGAAAATTAATTTTTTCCTATAGAAAAATATTCATTTAAATTTTTACTTGTCCTATTTAATTTGCGCCTTTTTTATTTTCTCTTTCCCTTTTAGTTTTTATCGTACCATCTATTATAAATAGAGATAGATGAGTCATTTGATTGGGATGCACAAATAAAGAGTTGTGAGAAATTCTTCAGAGAGTTTGAGAGCTAAATACTTATGTACCTATTTGAGAGTTTGAAAAACTTGTTGTACCTATTTGAGAGTTTGAAAAACTTGTAGAGTGATTGATGAATGTTTTCTGTGTGAGCGAAAATTGAGAGAAGGGGTTTATAATTAAACTCTTAGGAGATTCTTCCTGATATTTTAGTAGAATCTCCAACTTAGAGAACTGGACGTAGCCCACACCGAGTGAACCAGTATAAATCAGGCATTTAATTTTCTTCCTCCTAACATTTATTTATCTTTCTTGTTATTTAGAAGTTTTAGATTATTTTATCTAATCCTTTTAAGTGTCGGGTGCATTTTTTTCGCAACACCAAGCAAGGAAGTAAACGAAAGATAATGGGATCTTTTTCATCATAAAACAAAATATTACTTCATTATCTCTTCGATATCGATCATTTGTTAGAGACAACGCTATCTCATGTACTCTCAAATATAATGGACATAACTCCACGACTTTATTTTTTGTTCCACCTAAAATGCCTCGTACCAGTGGAAATAATTGTGTTCATCTATATACCATAGATTCACTCTCTTTTCCCTAACTAATAAATGAGATTTTGTTTGCACCCCTTGCAATCCCTACCTCCTTTGAAGATAAGAGGAACTCGGGGTTTAATTTGGCGCGCACTCATCCAGTTATGGTAATTTCACCTTTAAATCCATGAAATCTGAACTGATAAATCAATTTAGCGATACAACCTCTCTAGACTTTTTGGCAAAATTATGAGATATGGAGCTTCCAAAAAAATGTAAGTTCTTCGTTTGGTGTATTTTTGCATCGAGGCATAAATATCCTTGACAAATTACAGGCTAGACTTCCCACGCAATGCAAAATAATCCCAACTGGTGCGTTTTATGTAATAAGTCTGAGGGAATTTTTGGACCATTTTTATTACATGGTCCCTTCAGCGCTTTCAACATTTCGCTCTCGCTACCGAGACATATCGAAGATTTTATAAAGGAAAATATGTTCATTCCCTCTTTCCAGTAGCAGAAATATCCTCAGGTGCAATTTGTTTGCTATACCATTTGAAATATTTGGCTCAAAAGAAACAACGCATCGTCAAGTATCCAGACATCAGCTTCATCTTTGGGATGACATTCAAAATCAATGCTTCATAGTTCATCCAAATCCCTACTCTTACTTAGCCTTAGCTTCTTCTTTCTGTAGATTCCTCACATACCTATCAATGAAGTGGTGTCTGTTTTAGAAAAGACAGAGACAGAAAAGAAAATAAATAAAATAAAAATGACATTGGTAAATCTCTTTCCTAGGTTGGAAGTCGAACTCCCACTATTTTTGGAAATTAGTACAAATTAAGTCTCTTATTTTGTGGCTATGTAGCCAAATATTATGACGAATTTAAAATAATATTTATATTAGTTCTAAAAGTACCTAACTTTTCGTTCTTAAAAAGATGAGTTGATACTTTATCACGTGAATCTTCAATTTTATGTTGTTTACCAAAGATAGTTGTTAAAAAATATTGCTACGTTTTTTTAGTTCAACCATTTTGAGGTAGAGGATCGATCCTTTTAACCGTTATAGTAGGCTGATTTGGTATTTATCTAGTGGAGCTATAATCGAATGGACTAAATATACTAAGATTATAAAAAATAAATGAATAAGTAAGATAAATCATGTTTTTTTAATTAATGTCCCCTAAATATCAATAGAAATATTAGTAACAAACTCCCCCGAGAAACAATCGAATTTTAACTATGTAGGTGAGCCACCATGAAATTTGAATCTTTTTTCTCAGAGTCTCCAAGTCGATTTCTCAGACTCTATATGTTTATTAACAAATTAAAGCGAGATTTTGAAAATCATAAATCTATTTTAAATTTGTTTTCTTTTTCATAATTTTCTTTTTTTAAATAGTGAGTGAAACATTTTTTCTATAAGTTGATCATAATAAATAATGTTTCTTCTAAAATTATAGTTATTGAGGGGAAGCCACTAGYTAGGTGCCACGTGTGAATGTCTCACTGAAACACGTCATACCTTCTTCATAACTCGCAAAGTGAGCATGCCGAGCACACCAAAAGAGGAATGTTGAGCGTAATGGAAAGGGAAGTCGAGCCACACCGTATGAGCACCTCAAACGCAGTTAGAGGTACCGACAAACTCACCTAGAAAGCATCTAGCATAGTGTCAAGTGCGTACTCCCAATGCTGCCACACCATTATGCAATGGTAGGATAAAAGGACACTGAATGTTAGGAAGGATCCTTATACACTCCCAATGGATTGTCCATTCTGTTCCATTCGATTTGCGCACCCTCCATATATAAGGAAATAACATCCCTAACTAAGGTTAATCATCTCTCCCTACACAATTAAGATTCGACACACATTTCAGATTCTCATCCTCGAGATAACTGCCCTCTTACTCTTTTTGCTTCATACCCGTTTGCTCCCAACTTGAGCATCGGAGTTGCATTCAACAAACCACCACAATGGTACTAAATTTCTACGTGCAGACAACAAGAGCTTGGAGACGAAGACATACGTGTCACCTGCATGACGCCTACGTGGAGTACACCTATAAATCAAAATCAACAATAGTGTTTTTAAAAAATTTAAAAGATACTTTAACCATACTAATTGCTAATTAACACATGCACGTGAAATTTGTCAATTTGTTTACCAAATAAAAAAAATGAAGCATTTATATAAATAACATAAAATAAATATGTGTTTTCAAAATATGACAAAATTAAGATTAACAAATTTTCAAAGAAAGAAGATAAACTTTATGTTGTATTATAAATGAATGGAAAATCAATCACTTTTATAGTCTAAGAAAGGGAGGAGTTCCATTATTTTTGGTATTCCAACCCATTTTTAAATTCCATGACTTTAAATTTTTATAAATGAAGTCAGACTATTCATACTGTACCATTTTATATTTCCTTTATTTATTAATAATTAATTGTATGTGCATTTGGTTTTTTTACCAAATAAATTTTCTAACAACTGAAATATATATATATATATATAAAGATTAATTTAATTTGAGGTAAACATGTGTGGGTTGTGAAAAGGTCTTAAAAAACTTGAATTTAATTTGCATTTTTTATATTAAAAATATGATAGTTTACGTATTAATTATCAAAAGCTAGAGTTTAATATTATATACTAAATTCTTATTAATAACATCATGTTTTTCATTGTTTAAAAGTATTGCAATAATAAATTTAATGCAATTTATTTTATGATTGTATTGAACAAATAAAACACTATTCATTTTTGTTGATGAAGCTATTAAAAAATTATTTTTTTAAAAAAATTGAAATATGTAAACATATTTATTTTAAAAACTAGCTTGTAATTTTGTAAACGGAATAATGGTAAGATACCCATTATCATTCTAGAGACCGATAGTTTGATCTCTTAGTCCGTAATTATTGAACTCAAAAAATAAATAATCTTAAAAAATAAAATTGATAAAGTATAAAATGTTGAAGCAATTATATTTTATTTCATTTTAAAAATCTATATTTATTTAATTGATTGAAAAAACAATAAATAAACAAACAAAAACTAACTAAATTGAGTATAAAATGTTGAAGAAAAATAATAGAAGCGAGTGAGTGGGAAAAAAAAAAGGCAAACTTTATAGGGAAGTGATTTTTCCTGTTTCTATCTTCCCAAATAGCATTGGGCTACATAACATTCTACTAATAATAAATTTAAAAAATATATATATTTTAAGGGAAGGTAAAATAAAACCCTAACTCTCTCTTTCCTCATTCTTTTTTCTTCTCCATAGACCAAGCAACGGTCGTACATTTCTCAACTGGAGTGCATTCATTTGAGCGTTTTTTTTTATGTTCCTTACCTACCTGTTTTAATCACTTTCAAAAAAAAATGTAGTTCCCATACATTTATTTTCCTTTATTTTTTCTTCTTCTTGCACCAAGCAATTCCCGCCAACATTTTGAACAAAGTAGGCAACACTCGTGTGTTTGTTTTCCTCTACAACATAATTGACTAAAGTTTCAGCCATTTCCTGCACCATTGCGCCATCCATCTACTAAACAGTGACGGATCTATGATTTTGCATGAAGAAGGCATAAATGCCTATAAACAAATGAAATATCAACTATAAACAAATGCGTATCAAGTTGCATCTTACACTTGGATAACTGTTGTAATCTTCATCTTAAAGTTAAAAAATGTTGCAAAATTTACCCTTCAATATATCTTCATTTGAAATTTGGTTGAAAAAATATTCTACGTATCAAGTGAGATAGAAAACTATTTTGGTATGAAATTGATATGGTTTAGACAAAAATGGCACTAAAGTTGGTTTTAAAAAAAAAAAAAAGTTTTTGGCAGAGTTAGTTAATTATGGATTTTCCTGATTAATCCACTTAATTTGAGATTTTGAGAAACTATATTTTAATTAAATTAGTGAATTTTTTGTGGATTTTTTTTATATATAATGAAATTATATAGCAATGGATAAAAAATTATCACAAAGTTATGAATTTAAATTTATTAAAAGAAATTTGGTTTAAGGTACAAACTTAATTACACATATTTTGTCAAAAGAAAAGTTAATCAAACTTAAAATTACTTATCACAAAAATATATTTTAAAAAACTAAAATAGGCCAAAATATTTTCTAAAGAACAAAACTAAAATAAGATTTAAACATTTTCTAAACAAAACTAATTAAAATAAGATTTAAATATTTTTTAAACATCACTAACTAAAAACTTGTCTTAAAAAAACACCTTTTTGTAATTTTTATATACTACAGTATCACTTTCAAATTTTTAAAGAATAAGAACTAGCAAGCCAAAGGGTAATTTGAAAATAAGAAATGTAAAATATAATACTTAACAAAAATTTAGGTACGTGCCCTTGGTCCCTCGCTGGATAAGAGCATCTTAAAGCAATTTTTTTGGTTCAAAAGGTCATATTCAACTTTTTCCTATTAGAATTTTTGTATGTTGATTAAACTTTTGTAAATTTTTGGTGTAGTTGATCGTATCTTCTTTTTGTTTTATAAAATGGTACATTAATTTGCAATTTAATTCATATGCTCCCAAAGAGTTGATTGGATTATTTTGGCAGACAAGATCTGGCAAAAATATTGCCTTTTGTTATTCAAATATTAAAGTCTTATCATTCAGGTCGTTTTAGGTAGTAAATAAACTTAATTAAATCAGTAGGTTTTTAATGGAAAAAAATTTTGTGACAAAGAAAGTAAAAGAAAGTGCATTGTTTTTAATGGTGCTTTTGCTTTGTTTTTCTAGACAAGTTTTGAAATCTCTTCCCATGAGCTGTAAGTTTAAATCTTTTCTCCATATTTTTTAATGTAATATTCTAAAAAAATAAAAAAAAAATTCTGTCTAAAAAAGAAAGCCCATTCTGATTCGGAGCTATAAGATAAATAGAATAATTAAAAACAAAAACAAAAAAAAAAACAAAAATCTTATGCCCATATATATATAGTGAGGTAAATTTTATCCTTATGTATTATATATTTCCGATCAAATTTTTTTTAGTATATCCTGTGGAGTGAAGATTCGAGCTCACAATATTTTAGTCGGAGAATAAGCCGTATCTTAACCACTTGAGCACATTCAAATTGACTATTTCCAATCAAGTATTTATAGTTAATAAATGTTAAAAACTAATGTTGCGACATTTATGAAATAATAGTTTTTTTAATGAGAAGTGTCTGTTTTTTTAATACAACCTATGAGGGTGGAAATTTAAACTCATGATTTAATGGTTGGAAATAGATGTCTTAAATRGTTGAACTAAATTTAGGTTGGAAATGAAGGGTGAAGTTGCTCGTAATAGTGTCTTATTAAATATAAATCTATTTATATATTAGTGGACCAAATATACTTTCTATGTTAATGATAGTCCGCCTTGGATCAGGTAATAAGTATTAGGGGCAAACGTGAATAGATTTTTATTTTATAAGGGAACATGAACATCAAGCTATTAACTTTGAGTCCATCCGTAGACATTTCTATTGACGTTTTCATATGTCTATGGATTCAATATTGGAACAAGAAGTAATTGTATAAAAAATTGTACAAAATATATAAATTAAAATATCACTGATATGGATTTGATATTATTATTATTAATTTTTAACTTATTTAAAAAAATACGAAGAATAAACCGCCACTCGACTCAAACGAACCAATTGGTTTTGAGATGGAATCCCATGAATGAATATTAACATGGTATGTATTAGAGACCAAAAGCTCAAACGAGCATCCGGTCCAAAAATTGGATCCGACCAAGATCAATGAGCCAAAAGAGCCACGATCTTGAGGAGTCATGTTAAGGATCTCACATTGAAAATTAATATGGTATCAGAGCCTAAAAGCTCAAACGGACATCCGGTCCAAAAATGGGATCCGACCAAGATCGATGAGCCAAAAAAACCACCATGTTGAAGGGACAAGTTAAGGATCTCAAGTTGAAAGGAAAATGGACCTAACAAAGTAGGCTACTCCTCTCATTGCCAATTAATTTTGAGRTGTAACCCATAAATATTAATACAAACCACGATTTCTCGAAAACCCTACGTTACCACGTAAATTGGGAGTGGTTATGAACAAGATTGACCATCTTTCCCAAGGTGACAATATAATATAATAAAGGATCTCAATTATATCATCCTTTAAGAATAAAAAGACAAAGTTCTTTTTTTTTTTCTTTAAATTTGATTGTTTCATTCATGAAAACAAATAATAGAGGGTCTCGATTAGGCCACCATTTTAAGAACAAAAAGAGTAGAGTTTTTTATGATTTTCTATTTGGTTCCTCGTTGAAAATTATCTATAAATAGTGAAGGTTTTGAGCATTTCATGTATAGAGAAAAACAAGATCAGCTTAGTGTTGACAGACATGAAGATCAGTCCAATCTTTGAAATCGCTCTCTTTTTGCTTCTTTTGGTATGCAATTCATTTTCCTTCACTCTTTTTGCTTCTTTTTGGTATGCAATTCATTTTCTTTCACTCTTTTTGCAACTTTGCTCTTAGAAATCAACTGAACAATTTCAATCGGGATCGCACGACAATAAAAAGATAAAGAACCTAACAAATGATTTATAATATAAAGGGTGGTGCTACCCTTCTAATTACCAAGTGATTTAAAAATAGAATACCATAAATATTGATACGATATCAGTCAAACGAGCTTCTAGTTCAAAAATGGGATCGGATCAAAATTAGTTAGTCCAAAAGTGCCACAATCAAAGAGTCGTCATCTTGAGGGACATGTTAAAGAATCTCATTCTCCTGTGTTGAAAGATAATCTTAGGATTTTTTTTTTCCTAAATCTATGAGATTTAGGGTTTAACGTTTACAACCACTTGAAACCCCCTACTTTGTATGTGTTTTAAAGATAATTTTATGGCTTTTTTTTTCTTTTAATGTACTAGATTTAGATTTAGAGTTGTTAAACCCTCTTCTCCAATATATATGAGAAAGTAAATAGTAACTATACATTCTCTTATTCTTTTTTTTCTTTCTTTCTTTCTTTCCTGGTGGGGCATTGTAGCTTGTCAGCTGTATAGAATCAAGATATGAACCAGGAGGACACTGGAGAAATGGGATGGAAGATAAGCCATTACCAGAAGCAACTAAAGAGAAGGAAGATTGCCTTGAACAACATACCGAGCTTGAAAATGAGAAGTCTTTTGTCAAAGATATAGAACCACGACCAAGTATTTCGTTTTATCCGAATAATGCTAAAAAGGGTTCTAATTTTGTGGTAGATATTGAGCCACAAACAAGTGCCACATTTTACCCCGATGATGTCAAAACCAAAATTTTCACCCAAGATATTGATCCACGACCCAGTGTAACAATTTACCCAAATGATCATGCCAAGGCCAAACTTGCCGAAGATATTGAACCAAGACCAAGTGTCACGTTTTATCCTGATAGATGTGTATAAGAGACCAGTGTAACAATTTACCCAAATGATCATGCCAAGGCCAAACTTGCCGAAGATATTGAACCAAGACCAAGTGTCACGTTTTATCCTGATGATGTGAAAGCCAAACTTTTCACCAAAGATATTGATCCACGACCAAGTGTCACATTTTACCCGAATGATGTCAAAGCCGAACTTGCAAAATATATTGAACCACGACCAAGTACCACATTTTACCCAGATGATGTGAAAGCCAAACTTTTCACCAAAGATATTGATCCACGACCAAGTGTCACATTTTACCCGAATGATGTCAAAGCCGAACTTGCAAAATATATTGAACCACGACCAAGTACCACATTTTACCCGGATGATGTCCAAGCCACACTCACTAAAGATATTGAACCACGACCCAATGTCACGTCTTATCCCAATGCTCTCAAAACGAAAGAGTCATTTGCTGATGCTCACCATGGAGAAGAAGCTGACATACAGATTGCACAAGCTTAATGTTACGTCAAGAACAGCCAGAGGAAGCAGAAGAAGAAGAGAGTGAAGGTTATGATGACAAGAAAATTTATGGAGTCTATTAAGAAATCCCTAATTAAGCTATGATCCAACTAGCTAGTTATGGTTTGTAATTTATGGTGTAACTTGTGAAAAAAATAAGTTGTGTTTATGAATGATTATGAGGAAGCTGCTGTCTGGTTGGGATAGTGAATCTCTGTTTGAACTTTCCTTTTCAAATCAAATGCAAGACACTCTTTAATTGGGGTAAAACAAACACGGATAATAATCAAAATTAAATAGTAATATGGTGATCCTACTCTATATAAAACATATAAAAAAAAATATAAAAATCTGCAAACCATTTATCCCACTGGAACATAATTCATCTTATTAAAATTTTAATAGCCTTTCTTAATGGTCGTACAGTTGAATTCTAACTCTCTMGTTTTAAATGTAATTCTAAGAAATTATTTTCTATTTTAATTCCTCGACTTTCAATAGTTTTATTCTACTTTCTAAAGTTTGCATAAATAAATTATTCGAGTCATTGCCANTCTAAGAAATTATTTTCTATTTTAATTCCTCGACTTTCAATAGTTTTATTCTACTTTCTAAAGTTTGCATAAATAAATTATTCGAGTCATTGCCATTAATTTCTTTCTAATAATTAAAAAAAATGGAATACGTTTCAAAATATAAATGTTGACATGTTAGATGTTGGATTTGTAAGGAGAATACAAACAAAGTCTCAGGTGGATTACGGAAGGAAATGATGATGGATATATAAGATAGTACAATTATCTTCATTGGTACGAGGTCTTTTGGGTGGAACCAAAAACACCGACTATGTCATACTTGTACTTGGGATTTCGGTCCGAGAGCAGAGGACAATATGATACCAAAATACTTAGGATATCATTGTCCTTGACGTTAGATGTGATTTCAAATGCTTAATTTGTATAAATATTTTACTAAGATGTGTTCAATAATTTTAAGTTTCTGTCAACTAATTTACAAAGAATTAACTATACGAATTAAAATGATTTTTTTTTTCAAATACTTAAAAAATAGCGAAAATGGAGTATGTGGCTCACATGGTTCAAAAAGTGTAGTTTATCCTCTTTTTTGTTTATTATTATTGTTTAACGTTTATATCCAACCAGTTAAAATTTATTCCCCAGAGTAATAACCAAATTATAATTTACAACATGAAAATTTACTTGTTTCTTTTATAAAAAAGTCGTATAAATCCAAGAAAATTGTCAAAACAAATATAATTCAACGATAATTTGTATATATTCTTAATTCTGAGTTCGATCTTCTACCCCACAAAGAAGTATTAGTGGTTGCCTTCAAGTTGAGCTTTGCGTAAAAGTCGGGCTTATTTTTCTGTTTTTTGGAAGCAAAAATGGGAAATGTAACTTTATCATGTGGGAGTAACAAGGTTGTTATATATGTTGGGCCTATGGAGTTCCCAAAAGCAAATAAATTAAAAATTAAAAATTAATATATATATATATATATGTATATGTATATATATTGGTGGGGTATTCAAATTATAATTTTCTGAGTATAATATTTTTCTTCTAACAGTTTTAAATGGTGCCACTATCCTGCTGATTTTAACTCAAAAGAGAATTCTTTTTAATTTATATATACACATTTTTTCGGCTCTTTAATCTAATTCTCGACAGCAATTTCAAAGTTTATTTTCTTTTTAATTTAWACGTTCTCATTATATAAAGATTTTTTTCCTTTAAATTTTTGTACTGGTAACTTTTTTTTTTCTTATCTAATAAATTATCAGATTTTTTGGATCAATGGTTTTTCTTTTATATAATTTTTAATTTAATTTTAACAAAATAAAAAAAAATCGATAATTTGAAAATTAATTGTCTAAAGTACGTTTTTTCTTTAAATTTACATTATGTGTACTATAGATTTTTGGTTATTTTGAATATTTAAGTTTAGTAAAACAAGACCCAACAAAAAGCCACGATTTGTAATATACATGGACCRCTTCTCTCATTTTCAATTTCCAATTAACTTTAAGYCGATAGAATCATGAATATTAATAATAATTCATAATTATTCTTAATATGAAAATTACACTAAATAACAGGAAAAATATATATTGCATTTATGCAAAAGTATTATTTTATTTTCAAAAGGGTCAAAAAAGTAAATTTTGGTTGGCCGTCTCATGTAATTGTATATAAGAGCGCAATTTATGTAATTTTTATAATATATGAACTCATATTTCCCTTTTGTGCTATTTTTCTGTAATTCCCTCGTTTTTAATAAATTAGATTCTCTTTACTAAATTTGGGAAAAAAAAATTTATATAAAAAGCTAAAATCCATCCTTTCTTTATTAGATAATCCATACTTGTATTTATTGCTTCAATAATTTTTATTTGAATTCATAAGTTCCAAAAGAGTTCATTGGATTAAGTAGCAGACAGGATCTGGCAAAAAAATATTGCCTTTTGTAATATTCAAATATTATCAGTCTTATCATTCCTCTTTTAGGTAAGTAAATGAAAATATATATTTATATTTTACTACGATGAAACCAGATACGCCATTTACCACTTAGCCGTACTCATATTAATATATATTTTTTCAATACGGTAAAAGTGAAAAATGTTTTGTTYTAATGGTGCTTTTGCTTTGTTTTCGTAAGGGTGTCTTTTTGCCTCACATGAGTAAAAAAATGGCTGAGATAAGTATAAAATTTTAAATCAATATGAACATAGTTCAACTAGTTAAAATATTTATTTATGATTAAAAAGTCGTGAGTTTGAATCTCCATTCTCAAATATTGTACTAAAAAAAATATAAAATTTTAAAAACAAAAATGTTATTGTTATCAAAATGGAGGAGCTTAATTAATGATTTTTTTTTTCTTTTCAGTACTATATAACTTGGGTGGTCATACACCAATACCTCTCCTCATAGATCGTAGATTCGAATTTTTTATCCATTTTATAATGTAATGTTTTAAAAGAAAATTTGGTAGTGTGAATCACAAATATTTGAAAGAAAAACATTAAAAGATCAGCTAAGGATTTTAAAAGAAAATTTTGGGAGGGTGAATCACAAATACTTGAAACAAAAACATTAAGGGCTCATTTGGTAACGTTCTCGTTTCTCGTTTCTCGTTTCTAATTTTCTTAAGAAATCTAAGCATTTTGTAACTAATATACGTTTCTTATTCCTCAGTTTTAGAAACATTCTCAAAATTGTATAGAAATTTTGGAAACAATTAAAACAAATTCTTCTGTTCCAATTTCTAATTTGTTCCAAAACACAAATAGAAAGATTATTTTATCATACTTGAATTCATGGATGTTGCGATCATGCAATCCATTTTTCTTTATTAAAAATGAAGAAACAGAAACAAGAAATAGAAATGTTACTAAACCAGCCCTAAAAGATCAGCTAAGAAATTTGGTGTCTTCTCGTTGCTACAACCAAATGACTGATCAATCTTTTTGGTTGAATATATAATTTATTCTTTAATATAAAGTTTTTCAATTTTGTTACTAATTTTGTAAGATTCAATATTATCGTATGAAGTATTTAAAGTTGATAAATATTACAAGAATAGTGCCAAGACAAATTAAGAAACATAGATGTTTTTAGTGAAACATAAATTTTTTTAGTAAAGTGTGCGTCTGGCTAGCTAGCATAATTTTTAAAGAAAAACTATAATAAATGACATAAAACAAATATGTATTTACAAAAATTTCATTACTTTTTGCCCCTTTTTTCCTTAAATGTCACAAAAGGTCTCATGTACAAGTTTGCCATTTACGTAATTTTTATAAAATTTTAAATCTATTGCTATATAAAAATATATATTATTCGTCCTTTTTTCTATATTTATAGACCATCTTGGATATAGTTATTACATGTTAGATAGATTTGGCCAAAAGTGGATAGATCTTTTATTTTACAAGTGGAGTGTTTATTTTATTAAAATATTAGGTATTTTAAACTCACTTAATGAAAAATCAACACACATGGGATAAATTTAAAATTTTTCAAAAATCAAGGATGTAAATGAAAAATAACATAGATATTAGAGGCAAAATTACATTTTTCCACCATTAATTAAATATAAAGCTCTTTTTGGTACAATAAATATAGGGCGTTCATGTTAACCATAGATATATAAAGCTCTACTATGGAGTATGGACACCACAATTTCTAAAAAATAATAATAATAATATGCTAACTGGTAATTAATTACCACAGTAGGTTTTTTTTTTTTTAATATTGTCTAAAACCAAGATATAAACATATACAAACATAGGTCTAAACTCCATACTTTGGTGTAACCCATAGTGTGTATACCACTAAATTAAAGGAAAATTATAATGGATAACAAAAATCTTTTACGTATTTCAAAATATGTCACCTGCGTTTAAAATTTTCATTTATATCAAACACTCATATCAGTAGTACATCAAACACTCGTATCAGTAGTATATTAGATATATATATATTGCACAAACACTCATATTAGCAATATACCATAGGTATATCACATACATATTACAAATATATCAAACACTCATATCAGCAGTATTTCAAATGTATATTACATAGATATATCAGTAGTCAGATATATTACAGATATAATACAGATGTGTATCTTGAGTAAAGTTGTTATTTAAAATTGGACCTCCCTTTTTTTAAGTGTTATATTTGAAAAAACTAAATGTAGTTACTATTTTCTAATTTTACTAAATTTTTTTTTGTCATATTTTCAACTACGCCTAAATTAAATCATTATCGTATGATTGATATACTCTATACCATTACTTTCTCTCTTTTTTGTGATGCGTTGGATTTCAAATAGTAATTAAAAAGAAGTGAATTGATGAAGATATAATCCCATAATATCAAACTAAGCATCAAAATTGTGATGTAAATTAAAGTTTTGTGCCAATTTTTAAAATATAAAACAAACAACGTAAGTTGTCTTAAGATTTTGATTATCTCATTCATATAACAATATATAAAGGAGCAATTATGAAAGAATTAATAGTGACTTATCTTTTTATGTGGGGTGTGGCAATAATATGATATATAGACGAAGATCTTGTTAGGTCACCCTCTAARAACAAAAATAGACAACAAAATCTTTTATCTTTTTAAAGATTTTGATAGTTTTTTATTCATGTTATGACGTAAGAAGTAC